CGCTCCAGCGCTGTCCTCCAGACACTCTCGTCCCTTCACCTGATGAAGGCCACTTGTGTTGTGGCCGAAACGTCGTGAGAATTTTATTATTTTATTTTATTAATTTATTATTTTATTCTCATTCAACGTGACTTTACCGAAAGAACCAAAGAAGATTTACCGAAAGAACCAAAGAGTATGGATCATTGCAGTCACGAAAGCTTCAAATGAAGACTATTCTTATAATTATTATTATTCTTTAAAAGTGCCGACTGTATAACCCCCATTCGTTGATTATTCCTTTGTATTTTGAGTCAGTTGTTAATCTGTTGCTCGATTAAAGCCTCCTCGAGCTGCGTTGGGCATCTCTTTCTTTCTTCTTTCGTACGGCCGATGGTAGACGCAGAGCGACAAGCACAGTCGCACATTCAGGGCGGCCGTGCCAGACTAACGCGTCACGAGCAGCCGAGCGCGTCGCCGTGATGTCTCCGTCGTGTTTGTGCACGGGCATTGCGTCGTAAGGGGGCCGTCCATAAATGATGTCACGCGATTTTGGACGATTTTTGCAGCCCCCCCTCCCCCTTCGTCACACGGCGTCACAAAAAGTCAGACCCCCCCCCTTCAAATATGACGTCACAAAGCTCTGCCCCCCCCCCCCAAAAAAATAAAACATGCTTCAAATCGCTTTAAACTATTGTCATTGTAGTGCGTATTTAATGTGGCGCTGCACTCTGATGTTGTAGGAGAAAACATTTATTAAAAAGTCTATTTAATTCAGTAGAACGTGTTTGTCTATATTTATTTAAAGTTGCGCATTTTGATGTGACGTCACATTTTAAACCCCCCCCCCCCCCTCGTCACACATCGTCACAAATGTCTGACCCCCCCCACCCCCCAGGTGCGTGACGTCATTTATGGACGGCCCCTTATACGTTGTAAGGGTGCCTTCTAGATGACAACAGTCGCACACTGTAGAGCTATTTAACTTCCCAAGTGTGCATCAGCTGCGTTGGTCACGGAGATGATTTGACCATACTTCACCATGCCGGCCGTGAAAATGTGAAGAAGAACAAAATAATTCGCATACTGTGGACAGTCATGGCAGTCGCTGGCTTTTAAACCATGTGCCCACTTAAGCCCCGTTGTCGCACGTGCTAAGCCTGCATATTTCACGAGGCTGGTTACACCCCTGGTGGTTCCGCTTCAGTTCATCAGGGAAAGAACGCCTCGGTATATGCACCCGCAAAGACAGCGGTGGCGCTAAGCAATAGCAGACCCAAGCAAAAGCTTAGAGCCCCGTGTGGGTCAAGAGGCACCTCCCCGCCTCCCCCCTCCCCCCCAATTGATGTGGGTACATCACATATTCTATGGTTCTTTCGGTTAAGTCATATAATAGATTAAAAAAAAATAAAGTGATTAAAAATATCAAGGCAGGCATTCAGAGGCTAACCTCCCTGTTCCTGATGATGACCGCTTGTGTTGCGATCGAAACGTCGAGATGTTTTTAATAGCTTCTTTTTTTACTACGTAACTTTACAGAAAGAACCATAGAATATTAATTCATGCAGTCACGAAAGTTTTAAGGTACATCACATTATGTAAATTCAAATCGTAATTTAAAAAAATCTATATAATAACAACACGCGAAATAACACTTGCAGGCCGGTCCTGTTGACTTTTGTACCGCACAGAGACAGCTACCATGAGGGGCTGCTGAGACGTTTAGTTACAGTGAGGGAAAAAAGTATTTGATCCCCTGCTGATTTTGTACGTTTGCCCACTAACAAAGAAATGATCAGTCTATAATTTTAATGGTAGCTTTATTTGAACAGTGAGAGACAGAATAACAACAACAAAATCAAGAAAAACGCATGTCAAAAATGTTATAAATTCATTTGCATTTTAATGAGGGAAATAAGTATTTGACCCCCTCTCAATCAGAAAGATTTGTGGCTCCCAGGTGTCTTTTCTACAGGTAGCGAGCTGAGATTAGGAGCACACTCTTAAAGGGAGTGCTCCTAATCTCAGCTTGTTACCTGTATAAAAGACACCTGTCCACAGAAGCAATCAATCAATCAGATTCCAAACTCTCCACCATGGCCAAGACCAAAGAGCTCTCCAAGGATGTCAGGGACAAGATTGTAGACCTACACAAGGCTGGAATGGGCTACAAGACCATTGCCAAGCAGCTCGGTGAGAAGGTGACAACAGTTGGTGCGATTATTCGCAAATGGAAGAAACACAAAAGAACTGTCAATCTCCCTCGGCCTGGGGCTCCATGCAAGATCTCACCTCGTGGAGTTGCAACGATCATGAGAACGGTGAGGAATCAGCCCAGCACTACACGGGAGGATCTTGTCAATGATCTCAAGGCAGCTGGGACCATAGTCACCAAGAAAACAATTGGTAACACACTACGCCGTGAAGGACTGAAATCCTGCAGCGCCCACAAGGTCCCCCTGCTCAAGAAAGCACATATATGTAGGTAATAGGCACGTATTTTTATTTAATTACCATCACTATTAATACGCCAATATCGCTCATCTCACCGCATCTCTACATTTGTCGAGCATTGTTATCATTTCGCGCCATCTGTATATCTCTCGTCCGCATTCAGTTTCCTCCGTCGTCTCACAAAGATTTCATTTATTGAAACGCGGGGGGGGGGGGTTTCAAGATGGGGGTTTTCATAATCGGACATCCTTTGCCAGTACCCAAATACGAGAAGAGGTTTTCCCCTTTTTTCAGGCAACAAAACGGGTGTTAAGATATTCTTAGTTCTTTCGGTGAAGTCACGTAGAAGGGAAACATTAAAATAATTAAAATTATGAAACAATAAAATTCTCACGACGTTTCGACTGCAACACAAGCAATCGTCATCAGGTGTGAAAACCACAGCAAGAACATTTGGAAAAAAGTGGCGGTTATTTTTAACGTTGGATGTTAAAACACCAAACTGAAACCTTTAACAAGTAATCATGTCTGCATTAACCACAATACTTGTGGTCAGAATGCAAACAAAAAACGTACTCTGATAATATATGCATTGTCTTTGAAACTGATTGGTCCACACCAGAGACAGCTTTCTTTCAAACGGTGTTAACACCGTTTGAGATTGTGGTTAATGCAGACATGATTAAATTTGGTGTTTTAACATCTTAACACCTCTTCTTTGGTTCTTTCGGTAAAGTCACGATTCAAAGCTCTGTCGTCCCGACAGTACTGTTCTTTCACCTGAAGAAGGCTACTTGTGTTGTGGCCGAAACGTCGTGAGAATTTTATTGTCTTATTTTATTATTTTATTCTCATTCTACGTGGTGACTTTACCGAAAGAACCAAAGAAGATGAATCCTTGCAGTCACGAAAGCTTTACATCGAAATCTTAACACCTGTTTTGTTGCCAGAAAAAAGTGGGAAAATCTATTCTCGTGGTTTTTTTTTTTCTTGAGGGGTCGGTGGGGGCGCCTTGAATTGGCGAGCATCTACGGGTTCCGCTTTGTTCCGGCTGAAATGAAGCACCTGTCCGTGGTGTTCCGCGACTGTCAAGGGAACTTTGAATGTCGCCTCCAACAGACTCACAGGTGTCCCAGGGCAGCAATCGTTTTTTTTTTTTAAAAAAGAAGAAAACGATTTTGAGAAAACCAGGACGGGTGGCAGCCCTCGGCCCAAGCGTTTCGCGATTTTCCGATACCGTTTCAAAAGTTTTCTCGTCCCTGACGCCATTCACACTCAATTGCGTCTGCAACGACTTCGCAAACAGCCCTGCACTTATATTCTGACAAATTGTCAATGGTCCGTGGTTTTGGTTCGTTAAGGAGGTTACTGCATGACAGAATGCGGCGGTTATCTTGCCTTGAGCTGGAGTAGGCGTCGGGGTTTCATTGGCGGTGCGCTGACCCGGTACGCGTAACTTCTGCTAGGAGGGATCGAGCCACGCACACAGTCACGGCAAACGAGCACGCGCCTTTGCGTCTCTACCGTAACGCCCACAATGCCCGCATATTCCACAAACACGCAAAGGTCTCCTGGGTGCCTGTTAAGGTCAGCGTCGCCATACGAGGTGGTGGTGGTGGTGGCCAAGCGCCACGCTCGGTCGCATTTGTCGCGTTCTCAACCGGGGGCTACGCGGACCTCCTAAGGGGTCCGTGGAAATGTCCCAGGGAGGGGCACGTGGGGCGATGTGTAAACGTGTGAAATTGCATCACGCATGAGAGTCATCGGCGAATAATCACGTGTGAATCTGCCAGTATAAAATAACTTCGATACCGTGTAAATCCATGTGGGGTAACCCAGAACGCCATAGAAGACCTTTCTAAACTCGCCCACTGATCGTAAGACAACGCGGTTCTCGAGGGTGATCAAAGAGAGCGAAAAAATACCCCACGCGTGCCAGAGCGTCCGTTAAATGTTTTTATTCGCTTGCAGTTGCTTGCTTAGTCAGGATACCCCCCAACAAAATGGACAATTAGTTAAAGTAGCTCTGTCGTCCCGACAGGTTTGTTCCTTTCACCTGAAGAAGGCCACTTGTGTTGTGGCCGAAACGTCGTGAGAATTTTATTGTTTCATTTTATTATTTTATTCTCATTCTACGTGACTTTACCGAAATAACCAAAGAAGATGAATTGGTTAAAGCATCGATGTTCTTCGTTCATACGTTTACTTCGCAGAACCGTGTTGGGTTAGAGGCAAGGGCGGTGCTCGGTTGAATCAAAACCCAACGGAGGGGGTACAGGAGCATGGTTGAGAACTGCTGATCTAAACAAATCTACTCCTGGGGGTGGCTTCACTGCTCGATGTTGGAGCTTGGAACCAACAACGCAGATTCACGATTCACGTCTTTGATCCCCGTAAAATGTGTCTCGTGGAAGGACGTCCAAGCTGGCCAGGCATCTGGACGTGCCCACACTTTAACCCACCACGCGCGATTTTGCCGACCGACGTTACCGCGGCAGTAACCAATTTTCGCCACTGCTGCTGGGTGGACCAGAGACGCAGAGGGGTGCAGGAGAGTGGCATTTAAGAAACCTGGCCATTGTTTCAAGAGCCGCGCAGTGAGATAAAAAAAACCCGGCGACCCCATTGCCTTGTAAAGTGCAACGTACCGTATCCACAAACACCGGCGGGTCAGCATCCAAACCTGCCTCTGCGAAGTGCAAGAGGGGTATTCGCATTCCACGCGCAGGTGAAGTGCCCTCCTCTCTCTCTATCTTGCCTTTTACCCCACCCACTTGGCAGCAGCAGCAGCCGCCGCCGCGCCCTCATATCAACAGCGGTTCGTTTCGCGTCCAATGTATTGGCGGTTTCTAAAATAAGTGAGTTGGGTTAGCCTGCTTCTCCGATGCCAATTTTGGTGTCTTGTAGAGCACACCTTCACCCCCACCACCACTCCCCGCAGACACCCACCCACCAACTTCCCCCCGGCCACCGCCCCCGCCACGGGCGAGACAAAGAGGCTGAGGCTGAAGCTGCTGCTGACGCGCTGATTGATGCCGCCTCGGCTCGTATTTATACGGCACCCACGGGCCAGTTGTCGCCTGCAGAGATCGCACGCTGGTTGTCTCTCCGGCAAGCCTCCGTCCTGCTTCTTACCCCGTTCTACGCTTACAAGACGTTTAAAGTTATCTTCCCTCGACGTTCGCGAGGCGTCATCCGATTTGTTGCAAACCCCCCCCCTCCTCCTCCTCCTCCACCGTCTTTTCTACGGGACGTCGCTCATCTCGCCTCGAACTCAAAACAGGTGACCTACATTTTTACATCCCTGCGGGCGACGCGATAATGTGATGTTTTGAGGATATTTTTTTTTGAGAATTGTTATTCGGGTTCACGCAGTGGGGTATAAAGAGGTGCAGACTGAAGGGTGGATGGTTGAAGGCCATTTGGGGGCTTATCGTGTTTAACGAGGTCTGCGTCTCCGAAAGAAGAGGAATGTCTATTATGTGGTAGTACATTTGCAGTTACACTTAAGTGCGCTTTTGTGTCCACACGTGGGGGCCTTATCTTACGTGTATATGCGTGTGCTACACTGGAACCATTTGTATGATTGAACGCCACCTGTCACGATGTCGCAGGGCTCTGTGTACACTGTCGCTTTACACCTACGCGCATCCAAACGCCTCCGAAAAAAAGTGACCCTGAGTGTGCCGAATCTTGTCCGAGCTCGGAAGTTCAGCGGGGTGGAGCGTGATTGAGTCCGTTGGATGGGTGACTACGATGGGGCTTGCCAGGTGTGGTAGGCGTAGGGGCTGCGAGGTGACCGGGAGTTGACGGTGTTGAGCGCTTAACTTCTCATTCTGGGGTTTTTTTCCTCCCCCCGGTTTCCTCCGACGTGCCAAGCAAACAATAAATAAACATATCCACATTGCATAGAGCGCAATGAACGCACGTATTTTAGCGCTCGTACACTTACAAAAATATAGCGAGATTTGAAATCCAAGAAATATATAGCATTACAATATGCCAGCTTTTCCAACGTGAATTTTAACTCGCAAGAAGCAAGGTGAATACGCAGATTTGTCTTGAGCGCAGATTTAAAATGTTCCAACGGACAGGCCCTCCCTTATCAGACGATGCAGAGAGCTATTCGTAACATGTGCTATAAAGAAGGGACATTGCCCAAAACGTCGCCGTTTACGTGTTTTCCTTTTGAGGCCACCGTTTTATTGAGCAACGTGTTGTTATTTTTTTTTACTTTTTACTTAAATATGTGGATCGTCCGACTCTCTAGTTACATGTGTGCGTGTCTGTGGGGAGCGGTGTCGTGAAGCAGTTAACGCACTGCGCTACGTACCCGGTGACCCGAGTTCGATTACCGCTCACGGCCAGCACCGCTGACGATTATCTGAACCGATTAACTGAACTGGGCCTCCCCTAGGTCGACTCAGCCTCAAATGAGTAACTGGTGCGGTGCGTAAACAATCACCACTCGCGAGACAAAGGCGGCCGGGCGTGGTGTTGGCCACCCACTACCCCCGTATGCCGTGCCGGCCTTCATAGACGCTCGCAGGCAGCGCTTGCCCCCAAAGGTCTGTTCCAGCGCTGTTAAACCGAATAAAGTATTAAAGCTTTCGTGACTGCAAAAAAATTACTCGTTTTTTTTTTCGGTAAAGTCACGTGTGTAGAAATACAATAAAAATTATATTAAAACAAAAAAAAACAATCACGACGTTTCGATCACAACGCAAGCGATCTTCAACAGGTGTCTCTCATCTTTTTGTTGCATTTACCTCCGTGATTTGTTCTTGACACCTGATGAAGATCGCTTGCGTTGTGATCGAAACGTCGTGATTGTTTTTTTTGTTTTAATATAATTTTATTGTATCGCTGCGTACGCGCTGTTAAACCTTTGTCTCTGCGCAGCTTCGTCATGAACGGGCTCGCCAACCGCGAGCTGGTGCTCAACTCGGTGCTGGTGACGGGTGCGAACCGCGGCCTGGGACTCGGCATCGTTCATCGCCTCCTCCAGCAGCAGCAGCAGGCGTCTCCACGCTTCATCTTCGCCACCTGCCGATGCACCGATGAGCAGAGCGCGAAGGTGGGAGAGCGGGCGGGCGGGCGGGGGGTAATATGCGGACACTGCGTGTGTTCAAAGGTAAAGATGAAGGTGCAGCCCATGCAAACTGCTTGCTTACAACCACTGCTGGCGGAAGGGCCATCAACTACAGCGGGGGTTCAGTGGATTGACAAAGGGGGCTGTCCATTGTGCCGGACTTGCCAGTGCGGGCAAGCCACCGACCCAAATGTGCACGTGAATTATCGTGGGTATTGGGGCGTATTAAACGTGAAAGCACTCAACTGTGACGGTGACGTTGAGGGCTTTGCGTAAGTGGATAATAACTCGGCCTACAGATATAAATAGTGAAAATAAAATACACGAAATACAAAGTACATTTTTTTTGGAGGGGGGTTTTTTAACCATTCAAAAGTGCTGCAATAGTGGAGAGCACAAACTGCAATTCGGTTCAATTCTGCGGTGCCGCTGTTATATAAGTACTCGACTGTGGATAGACAATTTAACCTCCCTCCCCTCCCTCTCTCTGCCGAACACGATTGTCCACCTAATCTCCCCGGGGTTAGATGTACCCAGGAACTAGTGGTGAGCCCTAAATCGCTGCAGAGAAGGACACGACAGATGCGGTCACCTCCTTCATTGAGGGGAAATTAAGAACGGTCTGCAGTGTCACTTCTGCGGTCAACAGAAACAGACAATGGACCACGTGTCACAACATTGCCCACACTTACGATTCATAGTCCATAGATCAAATATTGACTTAAAGCTTTCGTGACCGCAGGAATTCATATTCTTTGGGTCTTTCGGTAAAGTCATGCGGATAGGTTCAACGAAAATAATTGTAGTTTTTTTGTTATTTTTTGTTATTTTATTTGAACCTCTTCTTTGGTTCTTTCGGTAAAGTCACGTAGAATGAGAATAAAATAATAAATTGATAAAATATTATTGTGTTATTTTATTTTATCAATTTATTATTTTATTCTCATTCTACGTGACTTTACCGAAAGAACCAAAGAAGATTAATCCTTGCAGTCACGAAAGCTTTAAATCGAAATTATTTGAACCTATCTACGTGATTTTACCGAAAGACCCAAAGAATATCCATAGATGAAATCAACGAAATGGAGAGAGACTCCTGTGTACGTGTACTGCATTACTGTAGGATATTGCCATTTGTTTTTATTATACCGGGTAAGGCCCGCTGAGCTATATAGCTATTAATTATTTAGAAGCGATCTGGCCAAAAATGATAGCTCAACGAAATGACTTCTCACGTGGGAATGTTTAGCAGACAAATACTCCAAACGAATGTTTATTAATGTGGAGGGAAAACCTGGGGAACATTCCACGCGACCATGGGGAGAAAGAACAAGCAAACTCAAAATATACAGCAGGCATCAGGGTTGGGATCGAACCCACAACCTCTTGTATACCAGGCGAGGTAGTTAACATCTCGCCACCGGCCGATTCACAGGTTATGAATCACATGATCTAGTACAAGAGTGTCGCTCAAAAAAAAGAAGGGGAAAACGCCCAAAAGATAAATTTGCCCTGTCACTGGATATCGAGAGGCAATACCTCTGTACTAACACTAGACATTTATATGTTAGACCTCTGGTCTGACACTCGGGATATAAAGGTAAAACCTCTGACATGACACGAGAAATTTCGAGGTAAAACTTCTTGTTACATGTGTAATGGTGTTATGGGACGAACGTACACCATCTCCGGCTAGTACCCACTGCTTACCTGTAGGGGGCAATCACGATATCCCTAGCCCGGGGCAAGGGGGGCTGTGGGGTGTCCTGGGATCCCCCGGGGCCCCTCCCGGAGAGGAGGGGGCTGTGGGGTGTTTGGATCCCCCGCGCCCCTCCCAATGGGTGGGGGCTGCGGGGTGTCCTGGGATCCCCCAGTAACCCGCCCGTCGGTAGAAAGGTATATAAAAGGTGGGAGCTCAAGAGAGTTGGGCAGTGCTGCCAGCGAAGGCTGAAGAACCAGTGAAGACAGAAGGCCGGCTAGCCTAGGACCCTGGACTCGTCTGGCCCCGCAGCCCTTGTCAGGGCCGGGCAGGCTGAGCCAGTGGTGTGACCCTGGAGCCTCGGAGCCCGCAGTCCTTGTCAGGGCCGGGTCCGTGTAACCAGTGGTCGAGATCTGCACCTTGACGCGGTCAGGTCAGACTAGCCCGAGACCCTAGCTTAGGAATAGGGCGAATTCCGTGGGGAAGTGTATCCCCTTAGCTAGCGGGTGGAAGGGCCGTTACCCTTCCTGTTAGAAGGTGTTGTGTTGTGTTAACAAGTTGGTGTTATAATAAATAAGTGTTGCCTCAACTACGGCGTCTGAAGAACCCACTACATATGGATTGCATCTCGAACGTTAAGCTTATTATTTCTGGGCCGGCATCACCCAATAACACCAGATATCACCAGATGGTGTCCATCTCCACTATATTTACCTTGTTATGGTTCAAGAACTCTGATATGGGAAATGGGGCGCCACAGTGCCACGGTTGCAAGATGTTAACTCCCTCGCTTGGTATGCAGGAGGTCGTGGGTTCGATCCCGACCCTTGACGCCTGCTGCTGTATATTTGGAGTTTGCGTGTCTCTCTCTCTCATTATCATCACGGTGGCAGGGGATGTTAACTACCTCGCCTGGTATACAGGAGGAGGTCGTGGGTTCGATCCCGACCCTGACGCCTGCTGCTGCTGCTGTATATTTGGAGTTTGTATGTCCTCCCCGTGGCCGTGTGGATTTTTTTCTGGGTCCTCCGATTTTCCCCATCCATATTTGGAATCAGCATGCGCTTCGAGCATTTGCCTGCTATAGATGTTCATGTGATAAGCCACTTCGCCGAGCTATCTTTTGTCGCCAGGTCGCTTCTGAAAAATAACTATATAGCTCGGTGGGCCTTACCTGCTAGGTAAGTAAAAAGTTAAAACAAATCATTACAAATATATATGGAACACGATGTTGCGAGGTGGTGAGAGAAGGCCCGCCATGGCACGATGGCTGCTTTTGCTGGCATTGCGAGGTCGTGGGAGATGGCGACTGCCTTGGGGAGGCCTTCATCCAGCAGTGATGACAATGCTCGTGACCTCCTTGATATTCGGTCTGTTTTTTGCATTTCTAGGAATTGCGGAATTTGGCGGAACACCACGCAAGCCTGCTGGTGGTGGAAATGGGTGAGTTTTTATAAATATGGCAGGGCTGTTTGTCCAGTTGAACGCCTCACACCACCCGCATCCGATCTGCACTTGTGGCAGCAAACGTGTTTCATGAGTGGCACTAAACTGCTACTGCTGAGAATATTGGGTAATAATCTGAGCAACCAGCAGTGGATAAACTGGGTTCTCTCATGTCCACTAGTTGATGGTCTCAGCCTGATCACCAATCACTTTCTCATTTTGATGTTTCGCTTAATTGTGCTTGTTCTAGCTGTGAAATTTACACATTTTGGTTTGATTGACATGCACAAACACCCCCTTCACCAACCGACACTGACCAGTGTGGTGAAGTATGGTCAAACAACCCTCTTGCCCAACACTAGGTGAGAAGACTCTTATTCAGCAGTAGTTGGACAAAACGGCTGCATATGTACAAATACATAAACATAACACGTTTCATTACTGAATTAGAATATATTCTTGGCTTCTGATTAGGCTTCATCCTTTCTAGGATCGCTGTTCCTTGGACACGTAGAGGGAACATTGCTTTAACTCGTGGAAACTAAATGCCGTGCACGTGAACACAGCCATTAGTTTTTGCCTCGTGAATCAAACAATTCTCATGTTTCGCTTTCCACTTGGCACGCATTTCGCAAAGACATCACAGACCGCGCGAGTGTGGAGCGGGCGGTGAGGGTGGTGGATGAGGCTGTCGGGGAAGAAGGCCTCAACCTTCTGGTGAACAACGCCGGGACTCTACAAACGGGCTCCCTCGGTTCACTGTCGGCCGACTCCATGCTGCAGTGCTATCATACCAACGCTGTGGCGCCTGCCATCCTTACGGAGGTACGGAGCTGTGCGGGGCATGCAACTAGAGCAAGGTGGTCTGGGTAACAACAGCCATGGACAAGGGGACGTGTAGCCCCGATTTACCTAAACACACTTAAATAGGGATTGTTGTTGTTTTCGCACTCAGGGTCCGCATTTTATGTATTGCAAAGAGCGTTCGTCTCATGTGAAGCAAAACTGAAAATGTTAATACACAGTGCTGGAGTTTTTTTTTAATTAAGTCGCAAAGTTAACATTGCTTTTGCACGGCCATCGGTGACCAGGCTGAGTCCATCAACTCGCTTCACCTGAAAGCTCGATATAATTACTGGTGGCCAAATCCTACATTCGAAGCCTCATGCTCTGACCCCTGAACACTTAGCCACCTGACCATATCATAGCAGTGTTTCGAAAACTAACAGTCCTTTAAGCTAACATGACAAAAAAAATCTGTGGACATGTGCATGTTTGTGTGTTCAATCGTCGGTGTGTTTTGTTGCAGGCTTTCCTGCCACTGCTCAACCGGGCAGCAGATTTCAATGTGAAGCTGCCAATGGGCTGCCAAAAGGCAGCAGTGGTGAACGTGAGCTCTGAGGCTGGGTCTATCTCAAGTGTGCCTGGCAACTTTCACATCTCCAAGGTCTACCCTTACCGTGCCAGCAAGGTACTGTGTAGGGATGTGTGTCCCAATTTGTGGATTAATTTTCAAAAATTGGATTTAGAAAAATTGGACATACAGTGAGGGAAAAAAAGTATTTGATCCCCTGCTGATTTTGTACGTTTGCCCACTGACAAAGAAATGAACAGTCTATAATTTTAATGGAAGGTTTATTTGAACAGTGAGAGACAGAATAACAACAAAAAAATCCAGAAAAACGCATGTCAAAAATGTTATAAATTGATTTGCATTTTAATGAGAGAAATAAGTATTTGACCCACTCTCAATCAGAAAGATTTCTGACTCCCAGGTGTCTTTTATACAGGTAACGAGCTGAGTTTAGGAGCACACTCTTCGAAGGGAGTGCTCCTAATCTCAGCTTGTTACCTGTATAAAAGACACCTGTCCACAGAAGCAATCAATCAATCAGATTCCAAACCCTCCACCATGGCCACAACCAAAGAGCTCTCCAAGGATGTCAGAGACAAGATTGTAGACCTACACAAGGCTGGAATGGGCTACAAGACCATTGCCAAGTAGCTTGGTGAGGAGGTGACAACAGTTGGTGCGATTATTCGCAAATGGAAGAAACACAAAGAACTGTCAATCTCCCTCGGCCTGGGGCTCCATGCAAGATCTCACCTCGTGGAGTTGCAATGATCATGAGAACGGTGAGGAACCAGCCCAGAACTACACGGGAGGATCTTGTCAATGATCTCAAGGCAGCTGGGACCATAGTCACCAAGAAAACAATTGGTAAAACACTACGCCGTGAAGGACTGAAATCCTGCAGCGCCCGCAAGGTCCCCCTGCTCAAGAAAGCACATAAACATGCCCGTCTGAAGTTTGCCAATGAACATCTGAATGATTCAGAGGACAACTGGGTGAAAGTGTTGTGGTTTGATGAGACCAAAATGGAGCTCTTTGGCATCAACTCAACTTGCCGTGTTTGGAGGAGGAGGAATGCTGCCTATGACCCCAAGAACACCATCCCCACCGTCAAACATGGAGGTGGAAACATGCTTTGGGGGTGTTTTTCTGCTCAGGGGACAGGACAAATTCACCACATCAAAGGGATGATGGACGGGGCCATGTACCGTCAAATCTTGGGTGGGTGAGAACCTCCTTCCCTCAGCCAGGGCATTGAAAATGGGTCGTGGATGGGTATTCTAGCATGACAGTGACCCAAAACACACGGCCAAGGCAACAATGGAGTGGCTCAAGAAGAAGCACATTAAGGTCCTGGAGTGGCCTAGCCAGTCTCCAGACCTTAATCCCATAGAAAATCTGTGGAGGAAGCTGAAGGTTCGAGTTGCCAAACGTCAGCCTCGAAACCTTAATGACTTGGAGAAGATCTGCAAAGAGGAGTGGGAAAAAATCCCTCCTGAGATGTGTGCAAACCTGGTGGCCAACTACAAGAAACGTCTGACCTCTGTGATTGCCAACAAGGGTTTTGCCACCAAGTACTAAGTCATGTTTTGCAGAGGAGTCAAATACTTATTTCACGCATTAAAATGCAAATCAATTTATAACATTTTTGACATGCTTTTTTCTAGAATTTTTTTATTATTCTGTCTCTCACTGTTCAAATAAACCTACCATTAAAATTAAAGGCTGATTATTTCTTTGTCAGTGGGCAAACGTACAAAATCAGCAGGGGATCAAGTACTTTTTTCCCTCACTGTATGAAATTTTGGATGGTCTGAAAAACTTTTATTTTGCATTCATCCGAAAAATTGCGTCATTTCCGTTCAAAAGTAGTGTCACGTGACGTCACATTTTACTTAAATGTTTAACATCTAATCATCTTTAGATGAAAATTAGTTTTACTGATGAAACTTAATGTTCAGAATTTTGATTCACCGATTATTGTGAGCTGATGGGTTGTGAAAACATATATTTTTGTTTATTGTGTGTTATGTGGCGATACATATACGAAATAGACATCTGATTATCTATTTTGTCATTGATATTCTCCACAGTGAGACCCATGATTATTTTTTGGGATGAAGTATTACATTGCCTGTACCCTACACTGCCTGATCTGTGAAAAAACCCCTCTATTTGCGTGCTGTGCCTGACACAGGCCGCCCTGAACATGCTGATCAGGTGCCTTGCCGAGGAGCTCAAGGAACAGGGAATCCTGTGCGTGGCCTTACACCCAGGTTGGGTCAGGACCAGAATGGGTGGATCGCGAGTAAGTGGCTCCATTCGACACACCCCACAGATGCCCCATTTCAAATGGCACCACTGGTCTCGTGCAAAAGGCCATCCGGCCGCAGTTAAACAGAGAGCGACTCCTGTCCACATGTACTGCATTGCTGTAGAATATTACAATTTTTTTACATTTTACCAGGTAAGGCCCCCACTGAGCTATATAGCTCTTTTTCAGAAGCGACCTGGCCACCAACGATAGCTCAACGTAGTGGCTTATCACGTGGAAATTTATAGCAGCCAAATACTCAAAACGCACGTTTCTAAATGTGGAAGGAAAAACCGGAGGACTCGGAGAAAAATCAACGTGACCACGAGGAGAACACGCAAACTCCAAATACACAGTTCAGGCGTCAGGGTTGGGATCGAACCCACGACCTCCTGCATACGAGGCGAGATAGTTAGCATCTCACCACTGTGGATATGTGTTGCTGTATGTCAGCGTTCTTCATTAATTTTCAAAGGGGAGCCACTTTCATCTCTAAGACATCATCAGTGTGAGGGGCCGCCACACGTTTGAAACCATTGCGGTTTGGCAGCACGATGATGGGTGGTGTTTTCACATTTATTTATTTATTGTCAGGGGCCGCACTTAAGGCCAGCAGAGGCCGCCAGTGGCCCACGGGTCTTGCAATGAAGAACGCCGCTGAATGTCATAAGTGATGTACAGTATACTCTTTGGTTCTTTCGGCATACCTACGTGACTTTACCGAAAGAAACAAAGAGTACGGATTCCTGCAGTCACGAAAGCTTCAAATCAAGATTGATGTACAGCATGTCAAAGTGTGATATGGCATGCTCAGCTTGCATTTTTGTCAATGAAAAAATATGATTTGTTACGAAATATTTCCCTCCATATCTCATTGTAATTGTATAAATACACAGCCCTTTATCAATTTACTCCTCAAGACATACTTCAATAATCTGATCATTGTCCCTTGGTCAAAGAAGGACTCGGGACCAGGTCAGGTATCACCGCTAGCTCTGACCGGAAGAAATTTTTTTTAACTCAGTGTCACGGGGTGTGAGCCATTTCGCATATATCGTAACATTTCTTTTCGAATGTATTTCTCTTCTGCCAGGCACAGATCGGCATTGAAGAGAGCATCACCGGAATTCTAGGAGTCATGGCTTGCCTCACGGAGAAAGATAATGGTTCGTTCCTTGACTGGCGGGGTCAGACTGTACCATGGTGACCCAGCCAGGAACATTATCCCATACCTGTCAACCCCTTATCAGTGCCTACCTTCTTCTGGGTTCTTTCGGTAAAGTCACGTAGAATGGGAATAAAATAATAAAAAACAATAAAAATAATAATTATGTTATTATTATTTTTATTATTATTATTTTATTCCCATTCTACGTGACTTTACCGAAAGAACCCAGAAGGTGAATCCCTGCAGTCACGAAAGCTTTAAATCGAAATTTAGTGCCTACATTATTACAGACCAATTCAGACCTTATTGGTCACCCAGTGCCCTTTAACATCTCAACGTTCATTCTACAAAGTCCCATCACATAGGGAGAAACACAAACAAATAGACAAAAAAATGTTGCCCGTAGTGAAATGGCTGTACGCCGTATGGATCTGAAAACTCAATTTCCCTGTACAAGAATACGGGGTAACCCGTATGGGTTGACACGGTATGTTATCCGAAAGACCACTGCCCACCAAACCACACGAAGATTTATAACGGCCGTTGTCTGGAACTCAAGAATTAAAGTTTGCGGAAGAGTTGTTTCCAGGATGTGTGTAATGACGCAGCGAGACGAAGTTCCGAGTTGTGGAACGTAAATAAAGTTTATTTACAATGTATTTAAGAGTTGTTTTTTTTTTCCCCTTCCAACCCCTCCATCAATCTTCGCACGTATTAGCCACGTGAGCTACAACGCATCTCCACAACGTGTTACAACCGCGAACGGATACCATCTCTTACAATGTGAGAGGGGGGGGATTTTGTTGTTGTTGTTTAACTTGTGACGGCAAATGTAATGTGCACGATCATATCGTCAATGCGCGTGTCATTGTTCAGACGCTCGGCTACATTGTTGGACGCGGCCCCTAGAGCCGAAGCGAGAGCCAAAGTCACTCGCTTCTGACAGCCTCCACAATTAAGGAGGACACGCGCGCAAGTTGCCACCCTGGGTCGAAACGAATTATCCCGTGATGCTGCAGCTTCGTTGGCAGTGGTGCGCAAAACGACGCATAACAAATTAAACAGATAAAAAATCCTAAACATCACTGTGGCCTTAAAAGGAAAACATATACTGTGTAATCGGAGGGGTTTTCTGTTTCAGTCCACGGTGTTGTTGAATGTGCTTATATACGACGTGCTTATCGTTTGCATTCAACAGGTCACCTTTGCGATATAGACTTGTGCAGTGTCGTTGACTTTTCACCATGTTACTGCGTCGTAAATAAATAAACGTTTCAATTAGATTATTTATAACCAGCACAGGACCCTCTGGGACAACACATCCCCCTTTGTAAAGCGAGACCAATATTGCCGACAATCTGCCCAGGCTATGGTACACAAACAAATAAATTATTAATATAAAACGAACAAAGTGTATTGTTACTCTCACTGGCAATCCAATTAGACGCGGGATGATGAATTTCTGAGATTGCATAGGAAATGCATACAAGGCAGTCATTCCTTTCTCATTCGTGTCCACACGCGCAGGACATTTGTTCATCCACTGCTGGATGGGGGCCTCTTCCCCCATTCCGTGTGGGTCGTTGGGGATTGTTTAACCATACTTCACCAAGATGGTGAGTGTGAACAACAAGAACAAACAAAAAAACCTCCGTACCGTATTCTCAGTGTAACAAGACGCTCCTGAATGTAAGACGCAATCCTAACTCGTGCCCGGTGTCATTAAACGAATACACTTCTATCAGGTTATATATTTTAAAAAAACGTAACACATTCATCCATAACACCGCCGTAAAGACAAAAAATAGATATGATGGGCGACGTTTTGGGCAACGGCCCTTCTTCAGAGCACATAGACAGGCCAGGTCACTTTTGTGAGGCCAGGTCACTCTTGTGACCTCTACGTGTTGTGAAGAATGGCCAGTGCCCAAAACGTTTCATATCATATATATATTTTTTAAGGCCACAGTGTTATTGTTGCACTCGATTCAAGAGCCGAATGGCTCGCAGGGCTATACCAAATAAATAAATGAAATGAAAAATAAATTAAACTTATTGACGAATGTGTTGCGTTGTTCATGAGACAACGTCGATTTTATCATCACGTGGTGCGGATAGGCAACAACAGTAAACCCATAAGTGGGTTGCTCGGAAAAAATGAAGGAACCGGAAAGAAAGACCTAACAGAGAACGACTTGACATCGACATCGTAAGAGATTTGTGCCAGAAAGATGTGGCACTCCACGAGCATATTGGCACAAGACAGAGGGAAGTGGAAACACAAATGACGAATTGTGCAGTGGACATGTAGATACCTATTTCCAAGCCATCAAGTCCGCATTAGCCACACGCACTTGTGGCAAGACATGCAAACAAACATGCTCTGATAATATAAGCATTTGTATTTGAAAGTAATCGGCCTACACCAGAGACAATAGACTTCTTTGTGGCCTTGTCTCGCCAGTGTTAGACCAGAGAACGCCGAAAGGCAATGCAAAGTATCAAAGTATAAAAAGGTCGGGTTTGATCAGTTATATCTATGGGACATTCTTGCCAGAATCAAAATGATGAAAAAATATGAATAGGTTTCACCCTTTCTGGCAATGAAAAGGGTATTATTATTCCCCCCCATCGTTTTGATTACTGGCAAAAAGGTCCCGTAAAAAAAATAATCAGCTTTACCCCTTTTCAGGCAACAAACGGGCCGAAGCTTATTCTTTTTTTTCCCCCATCATGTTGATACTGACAACAACAAAAAAAGTTTCCATCGATATGATACAAATAAGCTTAACCCTTTTCAGGCAACATAAGACACCCTTGGATGGTGACGATATTAATGATGATGACGATATTAATGATGATGATGACGATATTAATGATGATGATGACGATGATGATTGTGGTGCGAGACGCTTCCTCCTTAAGTGGGCGGGTGAGGCTGCGATTGGCCGTGATGAGGGGGTGTTGCCTGGCCGGGGTATTCCAAGGTCCCCTCCTCCTCATCATCATCCTCTCACACTCCCTGCTCAGCTGAGGCCCTCCGCGGTGCTCGCGGCAGCAAGTTGTTACGTGGACGGACCGGAGAGGAAGGGAGTTTCGCAGACTTTGTCGTGCGGCGCTTTTGCGTAAAAAGTAACCCGTTGTGCCGCGGTGAGTGACACTTGGGCAAACTCAACACTGCCCACCACAAATAAGACTCGGCCTCACAACTTTCTCGATAGAAGTTTATTTATTAACAACGGCTTGCTGCGTTTAGTTTGTTCCCACCACCACCCCCCCCCCCTCTTCCCCGCGCACGCCTCCGATTATCACGCTCGGCAACGTACGGTGCGAAAGAAGTTCAACAATACAGCACACGCAAACATTCACAACCGCCCCGGGCTAGGAGTGTACCGCGTTCACGGCCGTTCAGCCCGCACGAGAAGAGCTCCGGGGTGAGAAGTGAACCGCGCAAACAACAACAGCAGCAGCACTCGAAGCAGCAGCAACAGCAGCACTCGAAGCAACAACACTCGAAGCAGCAGCAACAACAACAGCAGCACTCGAAGCAGAAACAACAACAGCACTCGAAGCAGCAACAGCAGCAACAACACCACTCGAAGCAGCAACAACAGCACTCGAAGCAGCAGCAGCAACACCAACACCACTCGAAGCAGCAACAACAACAGCAGCACTCGAAGCAGCAACAGCACTCGAAGCAGCAACAGCAGCAACAACACCACTCGAAGCAGCAACAACAGCACTCGAAGCAACAACAGCACTCGAAGCAACAACAGCACTCGAAGCAGCAGCAACAACAGCACTTGAAGCAGCAACAACAGCACTCGAAGCAACAGCAACAACAGCAGCACTCGAAGCAACAACAACAACACCACTCGAAGCAGCAACAGCAACAACAGCACTCGAAGCAGCAGCAACAACAACAAGAAGCGAGGCGGTGGTGGTGGTGAGAGCCATCGTCGCTAACGATGACTGCGCGACTCTTGAGCGCCACGTGCCCGCGAATGGCTGCCCGGGGTGCCCGCGCGGGGCGGCTGCGCCTGGCGGCCCCGACTCGGGGGGCCTCCTCGGGGGGCCCCGAGGAGGCCCCCCTCAAGCGCACGCCTCTGCACGACTTCCACAGGCAGCACGGCGGCAGGATGGTGGGGTTCGCCGGCTGGAGCATGCCCGTGCAGTACAAGGAGAGCCTCATCTCGTCGCACCTGCACACGCGCGAGCGCTGCTCCGTCTTCGACGTTTCGCACATGATGCAGTGCAAGGTGCTGGGCAGGGACGCGGTGGCCTTCATGGAGAGCCTCACCGTGGCCGACGTGGCCGGCCTCAAGGACGACCAGGCCACCCTGTCTCTGCTCACCAACGACGCAGGGGGCATCGTCGACGACCTCATCGTCACCAAGACCTCCAAGGGACACCTCCACGTGGTGTCGAACGCCGGCTGCGCCGACAAAGACCTGGCGCGCATGCGGGAGCGCCTGCGCGAATTCAAGAGCGCGGGCCGCGACGTCGACCTGGAGGTCGTGGACGCCGCTCTGCTGGCCGTGCAGGGCCCAGCCACGGCCAGGGTCCTGCAGGCCGGCGTGTCGGAGGACCTCGGCGGGCTGGCCTTCATGCACAGCGCCGAGATGAGCGTCTTCGGCGTGGCCGGCTGCCGCGTCACTCGCTGCGGCTACACGGGCGAGGACGGCGTGGAGATATCCGTGGCCCCGGAGCACGCGGTGGGCCTCGTCGAGACGCTGCTGCAGCAGCAGCGGCTGCGGCGCAACGTCGGCGGCGAGGAGGAGGAGGAGGTGGTGAAACTCGCGGGCCTGGGGGCCCGCGACAGTCTGCGGCTGGAGGCGGGCCTCTGCCTGTACGGCAACGACATCGACGAGACGACGACGCCCGTGGAGGCCGCCTTGCTGTGGACCATCGGCAAGAGGAGGCGAGCCGAGGGGAACTTCCCCGGTGCCGGTGTCATCCTGGGGCAGATCGCCGAGAGGCCGGCGAGGAAGAGGGTCGGCCTCGTCTCGTCGGGGCCTCCCGCACGCCAGCGCGCGCCCATTGTCGACGGGCAGGGCGAGAAGATCGGCGAGGTGACCAGCGGGTGTCCGTCGCCGTGCCTCAAGAAGAACATCGCCATGGGGTACGTGCCGAGCGGCCTCGCAAAGCCGGGGACGCGGCTGCGAGTGGAGGTCCGCAAGAAGTTGGTAGACGTCGTCGTGAGCAAGATGCCCTTCGTGCCCACGCGTTACTTCGCGGGCGTTTGACGAGCCGAGAAGTTGCTCCCCCACGTGTCAAAAGGGGGTGGTGGGAAAAAAAACGACGACAAAAAGGCCCCGAGGTGGCCTGGCGTTCGACGGCGGTGATCCCCAGCCCACGCAAAAGAAGACAAATTTTAACTTTGGATAATAAAGCTTTCGTACACTGCAGGGATTCATCATATTCTTGGTTCTTTCGGTAAAGTCGCGTAAAATTCTCACGACGTTTCGATTGCAACACAAGAAATCGTCATTATCGTCGTGTGAAAACCCACAGCAAGAACATTTGAAAAAAAACGCCACTTTTTTTTTCAAATTTTCTTGCTGTGGTTTTTCACACAAAAAACGCCACTTTTTTCAAATTTTCTTGCTGTGTTTTTTTCACACCCGATGATGATGATTTCTTGTGTTGCAATCGAAACGTCATGAGAATTGTATTTGTCTGTTTTTATTATTTTGCTATTTCCCTTCTACGTGACCTTACCGAAAGAACCAAGAATACGAATTTAACTTTCAACACATTCAGCAAACGGCACTTGCCCCCCAAACCAATTAACAAGGAGCAATGTTGCTGCGTGTGACGAGAGTGGGTGGTGAGATTTTCGATGAAGCTCTACTTGCAAGTGGTGCGAGCGCATCCAAGATCTTTCCAAGTGCCAATTTCAATATCAGCTCATTGGTGAAAGATGCGTAGTCCAAACTGATTTTTGCTCCATTATGTTATAGCACCACCAATCTTTGCTGTGGTAGTCGGGTTTAACGTGTTCTGTGATGTTCAGTCGGTGAGTGACACACCCCAAACCTTGACAGTAAAACATATTATTATGGGTGGACATAATAAAAACACGAACACCCAATTCTAGCTCCTGCAAAGGGCTTCTCGGCTCTTCACGCTTCGCCCGTCGCCCCCCACTGATGCCCTCTTCACCCCCCCCACCCCCCATGTGTGCAGATACTACTGAGTTGTGCCTCAACATTAATTTTTAGATGCAAAGAGAAATTGGACAAAAACAATTAAAATGTCTTCGAAGGTATTTTACTCGCTCGTACTGATGCGCAGTCCTGTTTAAACAGAGCAACAACGCCTGTTTACCACCAGCCTTGACCAAACCGAGCAGTCAAACTGAGACGTCTGAACAGTGGTGGGGGGGGGGGGCGACAGACAGATGTAGACATAAATACCTACAAAATAAATATCGACTATTGTATGTAGGGCGTGTAGGTATAGAGGGCTACAAAATATTTTTTTTGGTGGGGGGGGGGGTGTGAAACATTTTTTGGGGGGGTCAACAATTTTTGGAAATCTTTTGGATCAACTTTTTACCCCCACATTCGGTGGGGGGGGGGGGGTCCACTTTCTATAACCTTTTGATTCGGGCCTTCTGGAAGGCTCTTATAATTTAGTTGACGGACAAACGGAACGCCGGGCTTTTATGATAGATTACCGTGGTGAGATTTAACTTTTTGTGGAGCGGGTGGATGAAAGCGTTAGGTGGTTGTGGCTGTCATCGGTCGCGGTTTGGCTGTGGTGACACAATCGTGGCAAGGCATTTACACCTCCAAAACTTTCACAGTAAAGGTAACGTGTGTTTGCCAACGTTAATAATTACTAACACAGTGATGATAGGTTAGAATGTTAGATGATGTAACAATGTAGATTAAGAACCGCGATATACAAGTAAAATACTCTACACACATCTCATTGCGATTGCTTGCTCGAACCGCTGCTGGTGGAAGGGACACTCCGCTCGAGAGGGCTCTCAAGAGTCCCACACATCTTCCACGTTGGCCAGCCTGCTTGGAAGATGTGTGGAGGGACCCACACTTTACCTCGCCACGAGGGATCTGTCCCAATCGACTTGAGAGCTGCCCCGAACTCATTCTTGGTGTGAATGCATTCAAGCAAATCGTTATTGTAGTTGGGTTTTCTAGAATGCTTTGTAGGTGGGTGAAGTAACAAGAGCCAGGATAAGTTTTTTATGTATATATCCAGAACCTTGGATGGACGGTAAACAAACAACTTTAAACACTACACGCTTGCAACTTTTAAACAGAGATAGTTTTAGTCTTCGTTTGGTGGCTGTGATTAAGTGGGGGGTCTCAGGTGCAGTGAGTGTGTTGTCTCAGCTTGATGGGGAATGATGGCGCAAAAAAGTACTAAACATTAACTTTGGTTTCTGAACTTTGACTTTGATTCCAGCCCTGGGAAATAAAGAATCCGTTTGACTGTAATGTGATGAACACTCTTGATTTGTAGCTTTCGTGACTGCAGGAATCCGTACTCTTTGGTTCTTTCGGTAAAGTCACGTAGGTAGAAATAAAATAAAACAAATCACGACGTTTCGATCGCAACACAAGCATATCTTCATCAGGTGGGACAACCACAGCAAGAAAATGCTGAAGTAGGCGAGAGAGTGCACGCATTTTTTTTATAATCTCGCTTTGGGTATATTTAACTGAAAAGTAACTGCAACAGGAGCAGTCAGACTTTTCCATACATTGTCTTGACACCAATTCACCTGTTTGATGTGCCACGCGCATTGTTGTTTTTTTATCTCGGCACTGCAAAGGAAATGTTTACCACGAGTATAATACGTATGGTGTGTGAAATTGCACTTCCAGACACAGTTATATTTTTTTTCCAACAAAGATAATTATTTAAAATACGTAGATACTAATGCAATCTAAACCCATTAACATGCGAAAATGTTTTTTTGATTTAGGTACGTCTCTTGCTGTTATTGATTTTGTTTACATTAAATCCTAAAATATGCACAATTTTTGTACTGTTTCCTAAAATATACTTTATTTACATTGCATATAGCAAATGACTGATTATTATTACACAGTCTTAAATGTACACGTCACAAAAGTAAAATGTATATTCATCATCATTATAACTTTGCATTTTTCACAAGAGGCAAGTCAAGTTTTGAGGCATTGTTCGATACGTGATCCAGTGAGTTGGGTTTTTCAAAGCAGCATGCTAATTGCCAGTTTCACCATACATTAAATAAAACTAATGTCAGGTGACATGGAAGGATAATTGAGGGATACATTGGTTGATAACCCATATATTTAAATATAACCCACGCTAGCTTCATTGGAACTTTGCAATTCGCTGTTCATCATTTCCCCACACATGGTCAGGGAAAGATCTGCCTACTCGCAATAAACTTTGCGTCGGTCTTCACTGTTGTCCTGTATAGCTCTCCAATTTGTTTTCGGGTTGCACATGCGTGTTTGCTTTGCATGATGCCCGACGTTCTGCTCCCGTATCCGATGAAGCTCCCAGCGCGTGAAAAGTTGCTCCCAAGCACGTTGAGTGAAACTTCAGACATTGTTCCGAATGATGTGTGCGGTACAGTCTGAAAACACATTGGACCGCTGGACAATGAGATGCTGCGGGTTATCACCCTATTCATGAACGACCCTCAATTAAATTTTGATTTAAAGCTTTCATTAATCCTTGATCGTTTCTGCGTGGTTTAAATATCGGCCGTTCTATAGGATTCGGGGGTGGGTGTAAAAAGTACGCGTGCGTACAGGGAGGGGGGGGGGGTCAAGGGGCCGTCCATAAATGACGTCATGCACCTAGGGGGGGGGGTCAGACATTTGTGACGATGTGTGACGAGGGTGGGGGGGGGTGAGAAATGTGACGTCACATCAAAATGCGCAACTTTAAATATAGACAACACGTTCTACTGAATTAAATAGACTTTTTAATAAATGTTTTCTCCTACAACATCAGAGTGCAGCGCCACATTAAATACGCACTACAATGACAATAGTTTAAAGCGATTTGAAGCATGTTTTATATTTTTTTTGGGGGGGGGGGACAGAGCTTTGTGACGTCATATTTGAGGGGGGTCTGACTGTGACGCCGTGTGACGAAGGGGGGTCAAAAATCGTCCAAAATCGCGTGACTGAATGTATGGCCGCTTACCTCGAGCAAGCGGCGATCTCTGTCACTATGCCCCCACCCCCCATTCCCCCGGCTATGCGCGATCCCTACCGGAATCTTAAGAGATTTCCAAACGTCGTCCTGAATTTTGATTTAAAGCTTTCGTGACTGCAGGGATTCATATTCTTGGTTCTTTCGGTAAAGTCACCACGTAGAAGGGAAACAATAAAATAATAAAAATATAAAACAATCAAATTCTCACGAAGTTTCGACTGCAACACAAGCAATCATCATCATCAGGTGTGAAAAGCACAGCAAGAAAATTTGAAAAAAGTGGCGTTTTTATTAACGTTAGCACCACGGAGAGCGATTTGACAGTTTGTTCAGATGGACGAGTCCATCTATGTTCGGAAAAGAGGAGGGGGGAGACGAAAAATAATGGATGCGGTCTGAAAGCCACCTTAAGCGTGATCAATCAATTAAGACCCTTCTACGTGACTTTACCGAAAGAACCAAGAATATATAACCCTCAATTAGTTTAACACGTAGGCTTTCACAATCAATATTATCCATAATATAAGTTTTTTGGGTTAGATTATGTAAATCTAAATGTCGCTAAACCCACCAGCACCCGACACAGCCAATTAGTAAGGTTCGTCAAAGTAAACAAAACATGCCAGTTAGTTACTAGTTCAGCACACCGGTGTGTGTTGGAGAGCACAACCACAAAATTTACAATTCTATTACGACGTTTCGCCGGTAATTAAAACCAGCCTCATCAGGCGACAGCCAGAGTTGTGGAGAAATCCTGTTTTGGTCTTAGAGGGATATATGTGATGTCATCACTTGTGAGCCAATCAGCTGCGAATACCGTGGGGTGGAGGGGGGGTGTAATGTCTTCATATAAATAACACTGGAAATATATTCTTGGTTGGGTTATTCACAGTGACATTTCACAACCCTCAATTAGGGTAGACACATGCACACTTAATGCTGTCCCTGAAACATGTCAATTGCCCTTCGTGAAAGCAGCCCCGTGGGTAGTTGCACTGCACCTTGAGAGAAGGGGGAGGGTGATGAATGGGGCTGGTGTCGAGATCTGCACATCTTTTTAAACATTGGTTAAGCGGTATTGGGCTTGCAGTAACAAACACTATCCACCCACGAATACCGCTGTGTGCTCGTAATGATTCGCCCGACAGTGAAGCTCATGAGCTCCGCATGTGCCACAGGGTTAAATGGCGTGATTGCGTCATTGCATAATGTGTGTATCGTGATGGGGTGTATGGTTACCATTTTTTCTGCGGTGGCTCTGCAAAAAAAATGCGTGCTCTGCACGTTGTGATGTATCAATCTGCACTATAAACGACAAAGGAGCAGCCCTGCAAATTATTTTCTCGTGCCACTGCTGGTGGAAAGGCCCTCCACTCGAGGGACCTCCATGGAGCCCATCCAGAGGATATTTTTTTTTACCAAACCCTTCCACGCTGGCTGGCTGGACGTGTTGGAAGGCGTTGGGAGTACCCACATTGTACCCCACCGCATGTGATCTGCCAATCAACTGTTATGGGCTCAAAATGTGTAATATACATGTATATGTATTTTTATCAGTTGAGTTTTATATATCACCTGCTTGTTGATGGACACCCATTGCTGGTTAGCATAAACAATTGGAATTGTTATAATGGTATACAAACAAGCACTTACGTTTAACGTTGAACCTTTACCGCTGTCAGTTATGAAAGGGGGGGGGGGGGGGGGTTGTTTGACCATACTTCACGAGGGTCAATTTGGTTTTGGTGTCTACGTGTTGTTTTTGTTACAATGTGCTGCAGTAATAAAATATGAACGTTTGTTGCCCTCTTGTGCATTGCAATGTCACGAGCAGGCTGCGGACCTCGAGGGGAAACCAATTAAAAACTGAAGCCGCACATCTGAAATATTTTTTTTAGATGCCCATCTTACTACCCTGCAGCGTTTGTGGTCATGTGACACGAGGGAGGTTTGGGTCATGGCCAGGAGTCGGCAACCATAACAAGAAGCGTAATGCACTGTGGTGAATACGAGACGGCGTGCCTTAATAACGTCACCAGGCCAGGTCCCTAAAGATTCCCAGGATGCCGACCCCTGATCATGGGGAATGTCATCTCTAGGGGTGGGGGTGGAGTTCTTGGCTAAAAATGATGCCAGTAAGCGCTGTACTGTGCGGTACTGCTGCAGATAACTTTCTGATCACGTGCCCTGCTGGACATCTGCGAAGAAGAGCTTCAATAGCTCATCGGATTTCTCCAGGATAAGTCAATATTCTGAGATCCACTTGCTTGTATTTCTGTACATCTCTTCCAATTCATTGCACATCTGCCATCTTCTCTAAATATATTTAGAATCATTTCGATACATCTCCTATCTCGCATGTGAGAATACAATCGTATCTCGACCTTCTGTCTTCCACCTCTTCTGTGAAGAGTCCATATCTGTTGTTATGCAATGGCATGGGTGCCAACGAGCAGCAGAAAAATAAAACGTGCGGGTTAATAGAACGTTTTGTGTTAAATGACGAGCGACACAATACACCAAATACATACAGGCTGAATTGGACACGTACCACTTGTGCGCGATTTTTTTATTATTTGGGTATTAATAAATATTAAATAAGACATTACACACGCAATGAATAGCAAATTTGTTATAACACGTAGCTTTGAAGACACGTTGACGCAAATTCAGATGTTCTTTGTTTTATGACATTCGTCATTGGAAACGGGCATTTTAATTGGTAAATCATTAACTGCACTTCAATATATCTACACCTTTAGCTGTGGGTAGTGCGCGTGCATGTTACCTTACATTACTTCGTGCATATTTCTCGATTTCAAGGCCAATACAGGTTAAATGAAAAAACCCCAGCCCGAACGTGAATTCACGCATCGATTATGAATGAAGTATTTCGACGAACTGATGACAATATGTACGTGTCACTTTCCCCTTTGATGATCAGAATTGAGCGAAGATGTAATGGAAGAGTTATCAACAAAATACCTTAAAAAATGACATTGTGATGCTGTACTCTCCCAACAAATATTCACCTTGTTATTAAAAAAAAAATACATGAGCGTATATTTCACTCTCTCCTGTAACCCGCTTCAACCTATCATCTGCCGTCCCTAATGTCTTCTAAATTAACGCATGACATTTGCAATTGAATTGCCCGTCGTGTGAACGCAACGAGGAGCACTGGGTTTAACGACGAACGGCTATTTCGCAATGATGATGATCATGATGATTATGATACTGCGAACCAAAAGCACGCGAAACATCTAAAATTATTCGGCAAAAAATATCTGAGGACCCCCCCCTCCCTCCCCCGACTGAGTTGAGTAGAGTTTGCATCGTATGTTGCGGCGTCGGCGTTGTCTAAACCTCGACACTCGGCGACGTGGCAAAACGAAAAACCCTCGTCGAGGAGTCGACTGCGCCGGTACCTTCTCTCTCTTGCATCTCGCGGCAAGCAACTTGTGGACGGCGCTGAACAACGCTCGAACGCAACTTTCATTCTCGTCCTCGCCGCCGCAGCAGCAGCTTTTTTGGGTAAGCCATGGAACAAAGACTGGTCGCCACGTCGCACGCTTTCGGATGCGCTTCTGTGGCCGTCTGGAACGCTCTTCCTTCCGATATTAGGAAGCCACTGGAGCTGTGCACTTTTAAATAATCTCGTTTGAAAACGAATTTCTTTAGAACTGCTCATTGTGTTTAGTCTGTTGTCCTTCTCCCGCACCTCTGATTAGCACGGTTGGCTACGTACGGTGCGAAAGAATTTCAACAGGCGTACATTCAACTGGGAGACGCGCGCACACCTTCCACAAACGGACGTTGAAAGAATTGCCGAACTGCGACTGCGGTGAAGTCAAGACGATCAAACAACGCGTCACCGACGAACGCGCCACCCGTGCAACATCCTGGCGGCAGTCGCTGCGATCCACACGGCGACAGCCGCTGCTCCTCCTTGGATTGATTGAAGTAACTTGGCGTTCTACAACAACTTATTTCAAAACTGTTGCTTTTCCGTCTTGCCATTCTCAAGAAGAAGAAGAAGCGACTCGATACAAGTCGCAAACATTTTGTGGTCGAACAATTTTTCCCAACTGTAGATCGACGTTAGGAAATGCATTCTTGCAAATTGCAATGCATTGGATGTGCTTGCGATTCACATGATTAATTATACGCATTAAAAAAACATATCGTCTTTACCCCAACTTTTTGAGCGCATTAACGCAGCAGCTTTGTCAAACACGGAGTTCAGTTCGCAAACTTTGGTTCTGGCGTGAATAGAGGAGAAAAATAGATTTTCCACTCCCATTATTACACACTTTTAGAAATGCGTGTCGTCCCACTCAGACCTGAAGCTGCACAGAGCCACTGAGCAACTTTACCGACGGCAGTTTCTCGAGTCTGCACAGCTGTCGTACCTCGTGCTGTTCGGCACGATGTCCGACTTTACATTTCGCTCCACATGCTGAGAGTTGGACATCGTGCCGGGCAAAATGCGCGGTACAACCCGAAGACACAACGGAGAGCTGTAGAGCACAACCGCGAATACCTTCGTGAATCAGGAGACCTGTCCTTTCAAGCTTCGGCATTTACAGCAGCTGGGCTCCGTAGACACCGATGGCATAGAAGGAGCCACAGCACCACACGTTCCAGGGGCCAGGATCGTTCATAAGGATTCCTCCTCCCCTTGCCAAGGTGACGAATTGTCACGCTTTGAGGTCACACTTTGATTCGCAGAGTCGAGTCTCTTTTTTTTTTCCCCCGCTCCATTGAATGTAGCAGGCCTCAAGTTAGCGTCAGGGTTCACGTGAACTCGTTATATACAAGATAGTCTAATCTATGCCTTGTTACATCCCTGGTAAGCTCAAGAAATGAGGTCACGTGAGAATGAATGCCCAGGTACCAGTGCCGCGGAGCGAAATAAAAATGACTCTTATTTTTTCCCCAGTCGCGGCCGTGGTGTTCAGCCAGACTGTTAGTTAATTGACAGGTTTTGTGTGGTGGGGTAGAGTGTGGGTACTCGCACCTCTTCCAAGACATCTGGCCACTGTGGAAGAGTAGACTAAATACCTTCCAGAGCTGAATATATATTTGTTTAAATATCAACCAGTCGAATAGAAAAAAAAAAATGTTTGATCACAGGCTTATCATGCAAAGCAGCCTGCAAAGAAGAACACTAATGATAACACGGCAGGTATGAATCTACCTCTGTCTGGAATCGAGCAACGTTGCGGGAACTTGGAGAAGACAGGCGACGGAGAGGGAGCATGCCGCGTACCTTGTGATGAATAAATCGCCGGAAGCATACAAGGCTGCTGGTGGCAACGCAATCACAAACACCGTCGTTCACGTTCACAAACGATGCATGAAAAAAACCCTGCCACCAGGTAACTTGCTGCCAAGTCTGACCGAGCCCACCAGTTACAAAATCGTCCACTCATAATCCTAAGACTTAAGGTTTTTTTGCTTTGTTTTAAACTATTTTCAATTAAATTTGTACGTTCCTTTGCACACTTATAACCGTTATTAACACATGAGGGACGCAATTCAGTGCCCGTTTATTCGGATACACACGTTCCTAGAGGTGGCCAGGAATTTGCGGCACGGTGAGGCGGTGAAATGCCCCCCAGCGATGGACTTGCATCACGCTAAAAACCTGTGTGGAGTACCAAGTGCGGTGCTGACAAAGCCGTGGGGGTATAAATGAGAGCTGCTCAAAGATATGCTTGGGACACGGTCACCCAGAGGAAGCCACAGAGGCCCAGGGCTAGAGGCCGAGGGCAAAATGCCACATGAACCCCCCCCCCCCCCCCCCGTTGTGGGCTCCTCTTTTTTGGCTGAGGCCCGGGGAAATCTGCCCCCCCCTCCCCCACACCGCCACTCTGGGCGGCCTTGACCTAGGGATGTAACGATTGACCCTGGCGGTAATCCGATGAAATTGTGACGATGCGGGGAACGCATTTCGACTCAACAATCGGTTCTCCTCTCAAAACAATGTGGTGACTGTAGTGGCCTCCGGTAGCTTTCTGGGGGTCATGTGAACACCACGGCACACAATATGTATATATACGAATCTGCATTCATCGATTCTCCTGCGATTCTATGCAATGTGTTGTGACTTTCCCAACTGATATCGTTCGCCGATCCAACGCGCTATCTCTCACCCCTAATTTGCCGACGCGCACACGCTTTGAGTTAAAGCGCTATAGCCTGGTTAAGGAAATAACAATTCTGCTATTGTAGCTATGCTGTTGGGGATTACGGATCAAACGGGAAAAACCGCTTGTGCAGCTCATGGTGTCCATAAAAGGTAATAAACCAGTGGGCATCACTGACCCAGTTGCCTGGTGCTTTGGGCATGCTAGACCGCAGCTCACATGATGCAGCGGGAGGTCACAATTTAACGCGTACAATTTGAGTGATTTAAAACAGAAACTGTCACAACGAAAAACAACAACGAAAACCTGACACAAAACACAAAAGCGGAAAAAAACTAGCCGACGTGTGAGGAGGAGGGCGGGCGATGCGGGAGACGGCGCGCACCGTCAGAGGTACATGCCGTTGATGAGATAGTCCGACTCTTCGGACACGAGCGGCCGTCCTTTCTTGAGCCGCTTCCGAGCGACGAAGAATCGGCCGCCGAGCATCACGAGAAGCAGCACCGTCACGGCGAGGCCCAGCGCCAGTGGCAGCACCGCGCCTGCTCACACAAAGACAAAGATCCCCCGTAAAGCCTTCACATGGACTGCCGGGGCAAGTGCTGTTAGCGAGCAGCGCCTATGAAGGCTGGCCATGAAGGACGAGGGTGTCGGTGGCCAGCGCCACGCCCCGCCACCTTTGTCTCCCGAATCAGATAATCGTCACTGGTGTTGGCCGCGAGTGGGAATCGAACTCGGCTCGCCAGGTTCGTAGCGCAGCGTGCTAACCGCTGCGCCACCGCTCCCCACAGACCCACGCACGCGCAGGGAGTCACATTACTCTCCTATCACGATCACCATGGTTACAGCTCCCATGAACTTCATCAGCCATTGATTCACTCTTCAGCACTACTGAACCATATGCAATGTATGTTCCAAAAAGTTGAACTTACTAGACTCTGGTGCGACATAAACAGCATCCACTTGCTTCTGCGTGGCACCGGGGTTAGTGTGAACTGCAATACGCACAACACACACACACATAGATCACTGTGAATTGCACCACAAAAGCCAAAACTGCTCTGCGCTGCAATACAAATTCAGCGAACGAACTCTGCCCTGTCTACCCAGCGATGATTATCTATGAATCGCTCACATCGGAGATAATCCGAACGAAGTACAAACCCACGCGCGGTTCTTTGTCGGCCATTGCAGTTCCAGGTGACCAGATTATCGTGTCGCAAAACTCTCGCTTCTAATGAGGACCGTGGTTAGATCCGGCGGGATGGTGGCACGTACACACACGTCTGTAATCCAGCACTTGGGAGGCAACGGTCGGGGGTGGATCGCGTACATTTGCTGCCAACCCTGCAGTGGCACGCTTGTTTAAAGTTTAGGGGGGGGGGGGGGGGCTGGGGGGATACAAAAACTCAAGAGGGCATGAACTCTAAACGAAACGTTAATGGGTAACGATAACGGTCTCCTTGAGTCGTGCATTCTGCTCGAGCTCTCTACCCCTGTGTAGACTAGGGAAGGCCTCAAAGCCTTGTCTAAGGGAAGTTAGAAGTTGGTGGGGGGCGGCGGGGGGGCGGCGGGGGAGCGGCGGGGGGGCGGCGGGGGGGCGGCGGGGGGGCGGGGGGGGCTGAGCCTTCTGCAGGGGGGGGGGTTCAGTCCCCTCCAGCACCCCCCACACCCCCACGATGGTAGGGGGCGCCCATGAAATGGTGTTACAGATTAAAACGGGGTTTGTAACCCATCTGTGTGGACCTTTTGAGTGTAATTCCATTCTAAGCTTGGGGTTTCTTTGGGACATATTTTCCTCCTGGCCATTCTCTTCCTCTTACCTCCCCTAGCCCCTCCACTCCTTCCCGTCCCTCCCCTACCCTCTACCGCTGTCGCTCATTCCTCAATCCTGGTACACCCCTGCCATCAAAACATTTTGGAGTGGAAGATGGCAGCTTTCACGTGGCCCACCACTGTTAAGCGAGAAATCACGGCGAGTGCCATCAAACCCCGGGCAACCGAACATCGATCATTCGATCTCCCGGTCTCGAGAGGAAAAAAACATATACATCTAAAAATGATTCTATTATCACCGTTTTTTCAGCGCCTGGGGTGAAGGCGCTCTACAAAATATAAACAAACAGCCATCAATGCACGCGAATTATTTTCCCTTGGTTTGGCTACCGCGTGCTTACACCTGAGCGTATGCTGACTGGGCCAACAGCTGAGTGTATGCTGCTGGGCTTACTGGAGAGAAGCTGCGCTTGGAAGGGCTGGCGATACATCTTCTCCGAGATGTTGTGCACATCTTGGGCCACTGGGAACAATTGAGGATAAAAACCCCAAAGAGTTATGAAAACAGATGCTGGATATTATCGCTATTTTCTTAAAATAGTTCAATGTAAATTATAGCCCTCTGTCAATCCACTGCTGGATGAAGGCCTCCCCATGCATGCCGTATCAGTCATGGGGGTTGCTTGACCGTACTTCACCAAATCCATCAGTGCAGGTTGAAGATTTCAACTACTGTGGGTTTAAAATAGTAATAACGGTACATACGTCTGTTGGCATAGTGTTTAGCACCCGACAATCTTAAAGTTCGATTTGCCGGCCGCAGCTCACGTCAATGTGGCAGGTGACATCTGAACCGGTCCCGGGCCCCCCTGCCTTCACCAACCCACACTGACCAGTGTGGTGAACTATGGTCATTAGTATGGCGATTCACACGATTGGCTATGTACGGTGCAACAAAGAGCTCAACATACATAGAAACAACCAACATGACTGGCATGGTGTGGAGAGACCACCCACTATTGAACTGACAAAGTGCTGTAAACGTTCAGTATTCTCTGCATTGGTGTACATCAGGCACACGTACAGCGTACGACCTACGACCTGACTACCAGGTGAAGGCGCACATCGGGTTGCAAAGGCCCCATTCAGTGGCTTTGGTAAACACTGTGAGAGCCTTTGATACGGGAGGGACACAAATGCACCGAGCTACACTTAGTTGCCAGGAGTGCAATGATGTCACACATTGTACACACCGGCAAGGCAGTCAATTAAGCGACAGTGCCTTCTCCTTGTCGATACCATAGCATAGCCAATACGACCCGGCGATTACTGTTAAGTAGAAGCTGGGCATCGGCAAACACCCCTTGGGAGCAAGGCCACGTGCGCTTATATCTGAAGCGGGTGGTGCTTGTGTCAGAAGTTGCCCTTCGCCTTCCTCCCACCCTCCACCAGCGTAATATAAGGATGCGTTGCTTATATCAGAACTGTGCTTATTTGAAAAAAACAAACTGGGAGACACTGCGTGGACAGTGGTGCACAAGGACAACACAACAAAAAAAGCAACGCATCCGTAAATATCACTGTGGCCTTAAAAGGAGAAATGTAGAATAGGTGAGATTTACTTTTGAAGGCCACAGTGTTACTAACGAACGTGTTGAGTTTTGATGCTTATATACGGTGTGCTTATATCCAGCTTCGATAGCGTGACATGGCAAAAGCCAGGCTACAATGGGCTCGTTTTATTTCCTCTACTAAATACTCGTTTTTTTCTGTACTAAATACTGTAAGTGGCATACCCTCCCTGAGGCAGATAGGTGGCACACTTGAATTCGGTATTTTTTTGTTCCAGCATCATCATTATTATTATTATCGCATGCTGTTCTCGCCGAGCCAGGTGACAGCCGCTTCCATCGGCAGCGCAGAAGGACTGCCCCTGAGCCCCACCGTCGAGCCCAGTCATGGGGGAGGTGGGGGGGCACTCGTTAACATCGGGCGATGGCACGGTCCATTATTGACCATAATCCACACGCAGTGGGCTGTGGTCACATTGGCACCCGGGTGTTTTAGGGAGGTCAGCCGCGCACGCGCACCCTGGCCAGTAATTAACCTGTAGGGCCCACGAGTTGATTGCGTGGCAGCTCAAAGCCAGGCAGACGAATGGTGGGGTGAGCGATGAGGTGGCGATGAGGTGGCGATGAGGTGGCGAGGAGATGTTATCTCCCTCGCCTGGTACGGAGGAGATTGTTGGTTCGATCCGACCCTGACTATGCCTGTTGTATATTTAAAGTTTGCCTGTTCTCTCTCTATCCCTGTGGCGGTTGCATTGATTTGTATCCAGATCTTCCAGTTTTGCCCTACAACTTAAAAGAACACATGTGCTTAGATTATTTGGCTGCTACTATAAATTTCCCCATTTGATGATATAAGCCACTTCGATGAGCTATCATGTACGTATGTATGTTGAACTTCTTTTGCACCACACATAGCCAACGGTGCTAATCGGAGGTGCCATACGTGACCATGTCTCCTCTGAAAGAAGAGCTAAGAGCTCAATAGGCTTTACTTGGTAAATAAAACAGTTTATGGTTATAATCGGTCAATTAAAAAGATAATTTTAATGTAATTCTCGGACGGTTATCCGTGTGTTTTCTGCTGCAATGTGAGGTTTAAAGACCATTGTGTGGTGGCTTCATGTAATCCTAAATGTAATAATATGCACACTTTAGACAATACTATAACAAGCTAAATGTAACTATAATCACCCTGGTCTGCCGCTCCATCCACGAGCTCTCACGTCATTAAAGTAGAGTTCATTATCAACGTATATTTTATCCTGCCAGAGTGCTTGATCCTATTTTGAACCGATGTTGAGTTTTTCTCATTCGTAGCCAGTGTTGCATCAAGGTGGGTTATTGTGTGTAGATTGAAATGTTTCCTGGTCGGCACTGATTTTTTTCTATTATGGCTTTTGTCATCAATTACAGATTTTTTTTTCCAGGTGGGTTCCCACTCGATCACTCCACCCGCTTAAGATGATGAAATGGTCACTTAAGTGTCACTTTGGTGATGTCACGGGGGTGTAAGGTTATCTTGCCGCGATGGCCGTTGGCTTGAACTTTTTGGAACGTTCAGCGAACTGGCAGCCAATCAGGGTTGGGGTGGCATAAAAGAGGGCACAGGCTATGGCCCCAAACGGCAATCAAGTTGATCATTTAGCAACGTTCACAAACCACGTGAGCCTAATGTTCAACGAGGTTCCACTGCTGTGAATGTTCTCGCGGGTTGCGCCGTGTTTTCGGGCCGTGCAGTGTGTTGTTCGGCAAGATGTCCCAAGTTTCGCAACACCGAATTGAGCTCCTGAAGAAGCTCCCAGCATGTGGAACAAACACGCCGGACATCACTTCATGCCGAACAACACACGGCGATGGCATAGCGCGGTTGGCATTAGGCCCTGGTGCGAAGAATGAAATGAGGCCCTCTTTAGCCCAGCCCAGAGATTCCTGGAGGCCTGGGGCTGGAGGCCTTGCGCAGACCGCCGTGTGGGGCCCTCTTATTCGTTAGCGACAAAAAAAAACAGGCCGGTTGTGTGTGACTTGGAGGGAGCACATTGCCTGCTCTGACGCCGGCCTCTCTGGGCGACCCCAGTGCATATATAACGGCATGAAAATATCCGGCTTCTACTGAACCTGTAGGTGCTTTGGCAGGCAACGCAGGCTCGGGCGGATCGTGCGAAGGCACGTCCGTGTGGGCGGGCGGGGGGAGCACGGTGATGGTAACTTCGTCCGACCCCTGCTGGTTTGCCGTGTCCGTGACGGTGAGACGCATCACGTACACACCCTCCCTGAGGCCAGACAGCTTCAGCTGTCCATCTTCCGAGCTCTGCACAACGCAAACCATCGTAACGCACAAGACAGCGATGTTATTGTACGTTCTTGCAGCGTGCCAATACGGAGATAGATTTTTTTTTTAATTCACATTTCTGATACATGTATATTCTACACTGTCCTGGTCACACAGGGCACGAGGGCTTCAGACATGAGGACAGTTTAAGTAACTTTCTCACCCGCCCCTATTGGACATCTGTGAAAAAGAGCTTCATTAGCTCATCGGGGGTTCCTCCAGTCTAAATAAAGATTCTGATTGTGAAGTGAATCTATGTCAGCTGTTATTTCGTTTCTCTGTGTGTCTCTCTCTATGCCTCTCTCATGCTCACATGTCCGTTGCATTGCACTCTCTTGCCTTTTGGGTTGCACTCTCATACTGACAGGCCCTTTGGATTGCACCTGTTGGGTTGCACTCCCTCGTCGAGGAGGCCGCTCTCCTCCTTCTTTTCTTCAGTTACATGCTAATTTCTCACATTAACATCATGCTAATCTCTCGCATTAACATAGCCACTTCCGTGCACTCTAATTTCTCACATTAACATCATGCTAATCTCTCGCATTAACATAGCCACTTCCGTACCCTCTGTCTCACATTAACATCATGCTAATCTCTCGCATTAACACAGCCACTTCCGTGCCCTCTAATTTCCCACATTAACATCATGCTAATCTCTCGCATTAACATAGCCACTTCCGTGCCCTTTAATTTCTCACATTAACATCATGCTAATCCCTCACATTAACATAGCCACTTCCGTACCCTGTCTCACATTAACATCATGCTAATCTCTCACATTAACATAGCCACTTCGTACCCTCTAATTTCTCACATTAACATCACGCTAATCTTTCGCATTAACATAGCCACTTCCGTACCCTCTGTCTCACATTAACATCATGCTCATCTCTCACATTAACATAGCCACTTCGTACCCTCTAATTTCTTACATTAACATCATGCTAATCTTTCACATTAACATAGCCACTTCTGTACCCTCTGTCTCACATTAACATCATGCTAATCTCTCGCATTAACATAGCCACTTCCGTACCCTCTGTCTCACATTAACATCATGCTAATCTCTCACATTAACATAGCCACTTCGTACCCTCTAATTTCTCACATTAACATCATGCTAATCTTTCACATTAACATAGCCACTTCCGTACCCTCTGTCTCACATTAACATCATGCTAAGCTCTCGCATTAACATAGCCACTTCCATACCCTGTCTCACATTAACATCATGCTAATCTCTCACATTAACATAGCCACTTCCGTACCCTCTAATTTCTCACATTAACATCATGCTAATCTCTCACATTAACATAGCCACTTCCGTGCCCTCGTCGAGGAGGCCGCTCTCCTTCTTTTCTTAAGTTACGTGCTAATTTTTCACATTAACATCACTAGCCCCAGCCACTTCTTTATTACCCTTAGGCTACACCCATTTCAAACCTTTTAAAACAGTCTGCCTCAGCAGCAGACCGTGCTTTGCCACCTGATGACGGACGCTTGTGTTGCGCCCGAAACGTCGTGATTTATTTTATTTTATACCTACGTGACTTTACCGAAAGAACCAAAGAGTATTGTGAAGTGAGTTGTTCAGGAATGGGTCCCATGCTCTTTTAATGTCTCCCTCCTTTCCTTTAAGCACGTATCCCATATGGTCTAGGGTGGTTGACTGTGTACAAAAGAAGTTCAACGTACATACATACATGGGGAATTATTCCATGATAAGAAGGATGAATATTTTTGTTCCGGTAAACTCTAGAACACTTAACCCTTACCTATTACAACTTTAAGCATGCTGTAGTTGACCCGCTTGGTAATTTGGGCCTTTTGATTATGCCAGTAATTTGGCCGGCGTATGTATATATGTTGAACTTCTTTCGCACCATGTAGCCAACCGTGCTAATCGGAGGTGCGGGGGAAGGACAACAAACTAAACGCAAAAAGCAGTTTTAAAGAAATGAGTGGCTTCCTAATATCGGAAGGCAGAGCGTTCCAGACGGCTGCAGAAAGCGCATCTGAAAGCGCGCGATGCAGTGACCGTCTTTGCTCGATGGCTAGCAGCCAAAAGCCGCCGCCGCTGCTGCTGCTGCTGCGACGGTGACCGGAGTTTTCGTGTGGGTGGCATGTACGGACCGCCATCTGCATGGAGGGATCTCCACTAAGTAGCCTCCAGCGGTATGCCGTGATGCCGTGGTCGTCCACGCTGCCCAGCCCGCTCAGCGTGGCGCCGCTCGCGGGCACGCGCAGCAGCACGTCGGCACCGGCCTGGGCCTGCGGTGGCTTGTCTTCACCTGGAACAGGGGTTAGGACACCAGCCCTCCACGTGAATACAAGTGGGCACACGCAGCCACGCATTCACACACGCTCACAGCCACGCATTCACACACGCTCACAGCCACGCAATCAGATACGCTCACAGCCACGCAATCAGACACGCTCACAGCCACACAATCACACACGATCACGCTTGGTCACACAATCACACACGATCACGCCTGGTCACACAATCACACACGATCACGCCTGGTCACACAATCACACACGATCACGCCTAGTCACACAATCACACACGATCACGCCTGGTCCACACAGTCACACACGATCACGCCTGGTCACACAATCACACACGATCATGCCTAGTCACACAATCACACACGATCACGCCTGGTCCACACAGTCACACACGATCACGCCTGGTCACACAATCACACACGATCACGCCTGGTCCACACAATCACATACGATCACGCCTGGTCCACACAATCACAGACACACAATCACTCGTGTCACAATCACACGCAATCCCACACTCCGGCACAAAATCACTCATGGCACACCTAATCAGACACAATCACATAAGGGGACATTATATATCACACACAATCACTCATGGGGCACAAAGGTACACACAATCACCCATAAAAAAGAGACAAATATCCCCCGTGTAGCCTTAACAGACTGTTGGGGCAAGTGCTGTTAGCGAGCACCTATGAATGCCTGCACCGTACTCACAGGAGTCGGTGGCCAGCACCACCCCTTGACCGCCTTTGTTTCCCCAGTGGCGATGTTTACACACCGCACCAGGTACTCATTTGAGGCTGAGTCGACCTAGGTTAGGCCCTGGTCCGGTTCAGATATTCGTCACTGGTGTTGGCCATGAGCGGGAATCGACCTTGGGTCTCCGATCGCCATTGGGTCACACAATCACCGGTCACAATCACGATCACCATTTGGGGCAATCACCGGTCACAATCACATACATCCCACAGCAAATCCACAACAAAAAAACTGGTCATGTTAATAACGAAATGTCAAGAAGCCCTTGATCCATCCACTGCTGGATGAAGGCCTCCCCGCGCCGTGTCGGTCATGGGGGGTAATTGCGTGACCGTGCTTTGAACAAAAATATATACTTCTGACAACAACGAATTCACGAGCGTCATTGCAACTCATATGACGTCAACACGACACCGCCCACGACGTCATCGCCCCAACGCAACTGCGCCAAGTGCATCGACGACGTCACAATCGAGCTATGACGAACGGGAGTTGTTTGTATTCTCGTCGGCAGCGTGAAACTTGCGTCAAGCCCGGGGACAACGGCTGCCTTGGAGCTGCCCAGCAGCGTTCGCAGTGCCGGGTTAATTACCCCAGGAGCACAAGTAGCTCGACATGTGTAGTAGCTACTACACATGTAGCTACTACATATGTAGCTACATGTGTAGTAGCTACTACACATGTAAGCTACATGTGTAGTAGCTACGGGCCCCGCACTTTCAAGGGCCCCCATGCGCTAAATGCTTTCAAGCTGTCAATTCCCGTTTGGCGATTCTGCACTTGCCCTATTACTATAGTACTATACCGCCTTCAACTTTTACGAACGACCGGGTGTTTAAGGTTAGCGATTTGTCGCATTATCTGGCTGTATAGCAAACGACAAAAATACAATTGCTTTACTATGCAAGTAAAAAAATAGTGTTTGAATGTGTTGTTAAAAAAAATTAGGGGCCTCTTTTTAACATATGTTACAGGCCCCGCACGAGCTTAATCCGGCACTAAGTGTCTGTAGTTGGCGGCCCCTATCGCCAACGGTGGCGTTGAGTCGAGACATTGCAGGGGCTGCGCCTTTACCGTGGCTCTACCTCGTTGAATGGGAGGAAATTCCACGTTGCTGCTGCTGCGGCAGAGGAGGAGGTCCCCGCCCGTCCCGTCGGACTAACAAACTACACCGCGACTTGATAATTGTTTTTTTTACCCTTCTATCTGGCAACAAAACTGACACCTTTTTTACAAGGAGTCTTGTTTACATTGACCACAATACCTGCGGTCGGAACGCAAACAAAAAACAACTCTGATAATGTATGTATGAGAGCTCGGGTGTAAGCATTTACACCATTGGAAACCTCATTTGCCAGTAACAAAATATGATAATTGTTTTTTTACCCTTCTATCTGGCAACAAAACTGACACTTTTTACTCTGATGGTGCATTGCCTTTGAGTTGTGCGCCTTTTGGCGTCTTCTGGTCCAACACCATGTCAGACGAGGCTCTAAAGAAAGCTGTCTCGGGTGTGGACCAATCAATTTCAAGGACAGTGCCAATACATTATCAGAGTTTTTGATTTAAAGCTTTCGTGACTGCAGTAATTCATATTCTTAGTTTTTTCGGTAAAGTCACGTTGAAGAGAAACAACAAAATAACAATATATATTTTGTTATAAAATATATATATTTTGTTATTTTGTTGTTTCTCTTCAACGTGACTTTACCGAAAAAACTAAGAATATTATCAGAGTTGTTGTCTTTTATATTCTTAGCTCTTTTGGTAAAGTCACGTTGAGGGGAAACAATAAAATAATTAAAAAATATATAAAACAAAAAATTCTCACGACGTTTGTGTTATGGTCGAAACGTCGTGAGAATTTTTTTATTGTTTAATATCTTTTATTATTTTATTGTTTCCCTTCAACGTGACTTTACCGAAAGAGCTAAGAATATGAATTACTGCAGTCACGAAAGCTTGAAATCAAAATTTGTTGTCTTTTGTTTGCGTTCCGACCGCAGGTATTGTGGTCAATGTAAACATGACTCCTTGTAAAAAAAAGGTGTCAGTTTTGTCGCCAGATAAAAGGGTAAAAAAAAACAATTATGATATTTTGTTACTGGCAAATGAGGTTTCCAATGGTGTACACCGCTACTTTGCACGCAACTCCACACAGTGCGAGTACTTTACATTATACAAAGCTAAGCAAACACTGTAACGTCGAATGCACGGAGCTGCCCCGCCATGCGTACATCAGGCGTACAACCGCATTTAGGAAACACGATACACATTGGAACATACAACAGCGATGTAGATAGCGTACAAAGCATACACGGTGGAATTACAACAATTATTTCAAGGACATTCTCAATCCACAATTTACATTATGAGACCTCCTTTGCCAGTAACAGGATACAGTAATAGGTTTTACCCTTTTAACCGGCACAAAAAAAACCACAACATTTTGACTGCTTTGTGTTGTGGTTATCGCAAACATGATGCCTTGAATAAAGGTGTCAGTTTTTGTGCCAGTTAAAAGGGTAAAACCTATTACTACAATCCACAATTTGTTGAAGGGCCTCAACCCCGCCACGTCAGTCACGTGGGGGTATTTTTGTTGTTGTTGTTGGTGTAACCATACTTCACCCACGCTGGTCATTATAAATAAATACAAATCGTAACACGGACTGATAAAAAAAATTAAACCACAATTGTGAAGGGTCACCGCACCGACAGCGCCGGCGTCCCCATGTCTCCCCCGCGTCTGCTCCACATCTTCCCGATCCGCCTCTTCCTTCCCATCATCATCATCAGCACCACCACCGCCACCTCCTCTGCCGTTCTCGTTGAGCACAAAGCTCGTGTATCCCTGGTGTGCTGAAAACGAGCACACGTTGCGTCCATCATCACCCCGCGGGCAATCGAAGAGGTAGCAGTTCAGCTCCGGTCCACCGTCACCATCATCACCACCATCATCACCACCACCACCATCGTCGTCGTCGTCACCATCATCATCACCACCGTCGCCTGGAGCTCCCTGTAGCACGGCCACCGAGCAGGCGACGTGCGAACAGCACGCCTCCAGGCAGCCGCGCCAACGCCGCACGCCCCGCGGCGCCGACACGAAACGCGCCCCGGCAGAAACGGAGTCCTGCGGACGGATTATTCGACGTCTCATCGTGGAGACGTCCGCGTCCCTGTCACAGCTGCTGCTGCTACTGCTGCTGATCGTGATGCCCTTGTTGTTGTTGTTGCTGCTGCTGCTGTGTCGAGCTGGAAGCAATTCAGCCGGCGACCCTCTGTTCCGCTGCTGCTGATAGTGATGATGATGTTGTTGTTGTTGATCTTCCGGTCCAATGGGACGTCGCCAGTCTCCGCCGCCGACCTCTCGCTTCTCGCTGGCTGTCATCTTGGCCGCTCCTCCTGCTGCTGCTCCTCCTGCTGCTGCTGCTGTAGTCAGGCTGAGCAGCAGCAGCAGCAGCGCCGCACACGCAGTGGCCGTCGGTAGCGACCCGGACATCATGGCCCCTTGCTGTTGTTGTTGTTGCTGCAGCCGCTGCTGTGGTGGTGGTTGTTGTAGTTGTTGGAGTAGCTCGTGCTGTCGTTTGCTGGGCGTCATCGTCACCGAGGCTGCGGCGGTGATTGTGTTTGGCCCGGCGATTTCAAGCTGCTCGCTGCGCTGATGATGATGGTGTTGGTGGTAATGATGATGGTGTTGGTGATGATGATGATGGTGTTGGTGATGATGATGATGGTGTTGGTGATGATGATGGTGTTGCTGCTGCTGCTGCTTACTGCCCAATGTCAACTCAACAAACGCCCTCGTCATTAAAGCGGCGACGACGGTGGTGGTGATGTTGCTGCTGCTGCTGCCCAATGTCAACTCAACAAATTGCCCTCGTCATTAAAGCGGCGACGACGGTGGTGGTGATGTTGCTGCTGCTGCTGCCCAATGTCAACTCAACAAATTGTCGTCGTCATTGAGGCGACGCGCGCGTTCAACGCCGACCGAGCGCTAGGGGGCGACGTTGCCTCGTTCGTGGCATTCGGCGACCGCCCCCCCCCACCACCACCACCCACCCGTGCCCGCTGAGCTTGAAGGTCAAAGTGCAGCGATGGATTTCAAATCCGTTGTTGTTCTTCACTCATTTTCAAAGTGGGGGTGGGAGGGTGAGGGGCCCACTTTTGCCGCTAGGGCCGCCGCACATTTGAAGCCATTGGGGGGGGGGGGTTGACAGCACGATGATGATGATGGTGCGAGGTGGTTGGGTGTTTTCACGTGTTGTGTATTTATTGGGGGACCCCACACTAAAGGCCACCAGGGGCGGCCAGTGGCCCGCTAGGCTTTGCAGTGAAGGACGCTGGTTTATATCCAGGGTTTCCCAAACTCGAGTCCTCGCGTTTCCACCAACCACGCCACGTCTTTCCGAATTCATCGATGTTATTCCTCTTCCACAGTCAAATGCAAATGAACTCGTTGCGTGCGTGCAACGTGCATCGAGTTTATTTGTGTTTGGTTTGTACAAAAAAAATGGAAGGAACAGGAGAGAGAGAGAGGAAAATCTCTGAGAGAATGGCTTGACATTAAAATGTTTTAAATATTTTACCACGTAAGGGGCCACTGAGATACATAGCTCTTTTTCAGAAGTGACCTGGCCACCAACGATAGCTCAACGAAGTGGAGTGTCATGTGGAAATGTATAGCAACCAAATACTTTAAACGCGTGATGTTGATTACACTGTGTAACAAACAAAGAAATTGTTCCTGGGTAGCAAGTGTTCTTTTCCAATTGTTTATGCCTCAAAAGTACAGAAAATTGCTATTATTCCCCACAAACTTTGCTTTCGTGACCAGGACAGTGTTATTTTGAAATTTACTTATTTTCAATGAGAAAACGTGGTGTGCGCATTTGTGTTATTCTTTCACGTAAAATCCTGGTCACAAAAGCAAAGTTTGTGGGGGGAATAATAGCCATTTTCTATACTTTTGAGGCATAAGCGTTTAGAAAATAACACTTGCTGCCCAGGAACAAAGATCGTGTTGCTCAGTGTTACAAATGTGGCGGGGAAAACCGGAGTAGAGAAGTTCCACGCGACCACGTGGAGAACGTGAAAACAACGACCATACAGCAAGCAGGCGTCAGCTTCGGGATGGAATGCACCACGGCCTCCTGTATACCGGGCGAGGGCGCCACCGTGGCGTCCAGGAGATTGGTCCCAGAGAGATGTCGCACTACACAGGGTGATTTATAAAGATGGACCCACGATGGAACGAATATGCTCAAAAAGTCCCCCCCCCCAATATATTGCTATAAAAAATATTTTAAAAAGTAATAATAATTGCTATGCTATGTAAATAAAAACAACAATTTGCTAAGCCTTGGCCACAATATCTGGATTTGTCCTCATAATTCAAAGCATAGATTTCTGTTTATATGATTATGGTTGCACTTTATTAATCCCTAATCTCAAACATTACATACAATGCAACAAGAAATGGTAAAAAAGTAAAAACAGAGCAATGTAATACAATACACTATTAGACATTATTGTAAAAACAAAAAGCAGTTCTGATTTGAAATTGGGTCCATGAGCATTATTGGCACAAGACGGTGGAAAGTGGAAAGAAATGACGAAAAAGTGAATTGGACACCTACGGGCTATCTGCCCGTGGATTGTGATGATGACGACGACGACGCTGTACGCGGCAGATGATGGTTAAATAGTGACGCGCTAAGCAATTTAACAAACCCTGGAATTACTTTGCAAATTAGGTAAATTCGCATAGACTTTCAGAAGGTTAAACATCTTCAAAAAGCTACGTTTTCACACCATGTTTATGGACACGAACTAAGAAATACAGTTTATGGAATATAATTTTTATTACCCTCGTGTCCAGTCCTATAAATTATTGTAAAGGGTTCTTGACTCTTACCAAGGCCGTAATTATAATATATATTTGGGGGACAAATATGCTCAAAAAGTCCCCCCCCCAATATATTGCTATAAAAATATTTTAAAAAGTAATAATAATTGCTATGCTATGTAAATAAAAACAATTTGCTAAACCTTGGCCACAATATCTGGACTTGTCTTCATATAAATCAATGCATAGATTTCTGTTTATATGATTATGGTTGCACTTTATTAATCCCTAATCTCAAATATTACATACAATGAAACAAGAAATGGTAAAAAAAGTAAAAAAACAGAGCAATGTAATACAATACACTATTAGACATTATTGTAAAAAAAAAATCCATTCCATGTGCTAGTGATTTTTTTATATTTTAGGCAGGAAATGGCAGGAAATTCGTTTTCAAATGTAGATATTTTTCTGGGTTGGGACCCCCAGACCCCCTGGAAGATTTGGTCCTCCCCAATGTTGACTCCATGGCTACGGCCTTGACTCTTACTCTGTAACGTTGTTGCATCCTTTATTAAACCAGGGTGATGAAATAACCACACTTGGAACATATTGTCTGCTTATCTACATGGCAGGTTGCCCGTTGTTCTCGGGCGAATAGTACAGATTAAATTACACTCTGTGCCAAATGTATTGCCTTTATCTCATTGTCAATCTCTCCACGTGTTATGAAAGGCAAACAGCTGTGCCCCAAACACACCTGGGAATCATTGACATGCCCAGTCCTGCGAGGCCAAGGTGCAATCTCTGATAATGTTTGTATGTGTAGTGGTTGATTTCACTCGGACAACTTTTGTCTTTCTTCCAACACCACTTTATTTACAGTTCTCCACATGTCCTCAATGCTCCACAACTCCCTTGTTGCCACGGCTCGCTCGCCGTGCTTCACTCGACTCGCTCGCCACCTTTGTCTCTCCAATCTCCACTTCTCCGTTAGCTCCGCTATCACTGTGCTCTCTCCACTGCTGGCTGCTTCGTCTCTGCTCACCGCTATCACTGTGCTCTCTCCACTGCTGGCTGCTTCGTCTCTGCTCTCCACTCTCCGCTATCACTATGCTCTCTCCACTGCTAACTGCTTCGTCTCTGTCTTCCGCTCTTCGCTATCACCGTGCTCTCTCCACTGCTAACTGCTTCGTCTCTGTCTTCCGCTCTTCGCTATCACTATGCTCTCTCCACTGCTAACTGCTTCGTCTCTGCTCTCCGCTCTCCGCTATCACTTTGCTCTCTCCACTCCTAACTGCTTCGTCTCTGTCTTCCGCTCTTCGCTATCACCGTGCTCTCTCCACTGCTAACTGCTTCGTCTCTGTCTTCCGCTCTTCTCTATCACTATGCTCTCTCCACTGCTAGCTGCTTCTCTCTTCAGCTGCTCCACGTCTTGCCTCGTCCAGCCCCCCGACTCCAACTCCCCGTTTCTCCTCGCGTCTCCCCAATTTATCCCCGCTCTCATTACACCCCAATTAATTAACCCGCGTCCCAACGACGCTCCACGTGCCCGTGCGCCTGTTACCTCGCCAGACTTCAAGACGCCACTCAGCCCTGACAACAACACCAGCCAATCACACTCCAGCCCTGACAACAACATCAGCCAATCACAGCCGTCCTTGGCTCCCCCCAGCTTAATTGTCCCAATCGTTACATCATCATCCCAATATGACCCCCTACTGTCCTGCTCCAGCGCAAACTCACCAATTACCCCCATGCGCCTATTTATTCCACTACATATCTACAGTACGTGTGTTGAACTTCTTTCGCGTCGTACGTAGCCAACCGTGACAACCGGAGATGCTTACTCACACCACTGATGACCGACGAGCCTCTCTACGACTAGAAGGTGCTCTCCGAGGCCTCTTCAAGAGGATGTTTGGCCTACTCGTCCTCACCGCTGGCCAGACGTATCGCTTAGGCATGTTAAGTGGAGGAAAAGCGGAGAACGGAGGCATCGCCGCGGTGGTGAGATGCTAAATCCCTTGCCTGGTATACAGGCAATCGTGGGTTCGATCCCAACTTTGACGCCTGCTGTATATTTAGAGTTTGTAAGTCCCTCTCCCCGTGGTCGTGTGGATTTTCCCCCGGGTTCTCCGGGTTTTTCCCCCTCCACATTTAGACTCCACATGCGTTTAGAGTATTTGGCCGCTATCAATTTTCAGAAGCCACTTCGTTGAGCTATCATTTGTGGCCAGGTCGCTTCTGAAAAAGAGCTATATATCTCAGTAGGCTTTACCTGGGGAAAAAAAAAACAGTTAATAGTTATAGAATTTGTATCGTGTTCAATATATCAATGGTTGTACGTCTTTGTTAAGTATTTGCCTTTAGAAACCATTTTCGTGTGTTAGGGGATTGTTAATCTGCAGATGATTTTGCAATTTGGAAGTTTTGTCAACTTTGCCAACTTGCCTTTTTTTCCACCAATGCTTGATTTTGTTGTTGTCCCAATCGACCGCAAGGCGACTCAACGCCGTCAATGAACTCTGATCTCGGACCGAAGCTAAGCAGTTGGTGAAACAACACTTTTGAACCCTGGATCTTGAAACTTAATTTTTATATATATGTATTTTCGTGGGATTTTCTTTCTCTCCTGCAATTGTGATTTCTATCCTTTGCTTTTCTTATGGCTTTGGTGGTGGTGTTTGCGTGTCCACGTTTGTGGTGTTAGGTTGACCGAGGCATTTGTTCTAATCTCTCAACAGACAAGGTCTGAAGGTGTGGGACGACTCACGTGTAATAGAAAGAGCTCATCACATTACGTCCCTTACGAGGCGCTCGTATTGGCTGTCCCGCTCATGAATTTGTCAAATTTACTCACCCTTGTCTTCGCGTGGATTATAGGGGGTAAAAATCCATTCGCTGCTGTCTAACAACGTTCTTACTTTTTTTTTGGTCGGACTTGGTGTGGACCAATCAGTTTCAACGACAATGCATATATTATCGTAGTATGTTTTTTGTTTGCATTTTGACTGCAGGTATTGTGGTTAATGCAGACATGAATCCTTGTAAAAAAAGGTTTCAGTTTTGTTGCCAGAAAAAAGGGGAAAAACCCTATTATTACATTTTGGTACTGGCAAAGGAGGTCTAATGATGTACAAGTCTATGAATAGTTGAAAAAAGGATCCTGGGGTTTTTTTCCAAGCATCAGCTAAAGTACGGAGCTGAAAGATAGCTCGTACGAGCAAGGGCCAAAGCATTACTCTATTTAGCTAACTTTTGCTTACAATTTTGAGAACGAATAGACGATTATCTGCAAGTTCGCTCACCCCTGCGAACAGTCACAGCATACGTGGCTCATCAGTTTGCCAGGGTGAGGGTTTAACGGGCGAGATCCAGCACGACTTAAGGGGGGGGGGGGGGGGCTTAATATAGCATGATAGACTTGGAATTGTTGCTTCCAAGGGAGTGCGATTGAATCAGAAAGTGGAGACATCAGGATTTCAACAAAGGTCATGTGAGCTTCGGCACGACACATCGTGACAGAAGGGAAAAATGGCAAATGAACAAGATTGGTCACGGAATCGCAGCGATAAGGGAAACGTGGCCGAGATGACATTCACCGTGGAGATGGAGCGATGAGATGAGCTCGCCGCTCAGAGGCTAGACAGATTATAGCGTCGTAAGGCTGTGAAAGATGGTTACGATGTGGGTAGGCCTTCATTCAGCGGTGGGATGATGATCGCTGTTATGATGATGATGAAGCCCTTCGCTGGATTTATCCAGCCACCATATATTGAGTCATGTGAGAGTTTTAAAATGTAATCTGATCCCATGGTTGTAAAACTCAGTTGTTTATGGTGAGTTAATGCAGCCTCTTTATTCAATATTGCACAACACTCGATTGCTGTTTGGTTCCACGGTGGCATGCGAAACAGGACAAAGGCCCATTGGTTGTCACGGGTTTATACCCAATAATTTCAACTGCAGAGACTTTACATAAGGCACAGGGTACCGCAAGAAAAGAGGGCAGTTGGATGTCGGCTACAGAAGGTTAATTTGCGGTGAGTTTGCATTGGTTTGGTAGCTGAATTGTAACTATCGACATATGAACGTTATGAATTTATGTATTTTTTGGCGACTCCGTCCCACCGCCCACACAAACGCTACGACCCCATCTGGCGCGGATCATTTTGTTGACTTGTCATCCAAGCGCAACAGCGAGGACGAATGAGAAGAAGGGCTGAACAAGGGTAAGAATCCACCCATTTTTTTCACCATATAGCATTGTGATATATAACGACTTATTATTGGTAGCTCAGCTGATTGGAGAATATATAGAGTTTATTTATAACATTGAGCTGTGCGCGTGTCTCCCCCCCAAAGGTCTCTCTACGGTAAATATTATATAACTATCTTAAATTTCACACTTAACTTACGATTTAACAATCTTTGAAGCAGCGTATTCAACCAAACCATGCGTTAATTGTGTTTTAACCGACCGTTTGTGTTGCTTTATATAGTTTCCAAATGTTGCTAAACCCTGTTTGATTTAGTGTGATGTTCCGTCTCTCTGTATCCCTTGGTATATCTGTGTTAATTCTCCCTACTTAAGGTCTGTCTGCGGTTATATGTTTCCCCTACCTGATGATGATTGCTTGTGTTGCGATCGAAACGTCATATGCTATTATATAATTTTATTTTAGTTTATTATTTTTTATTATTTCTACGTGACTGTACCGAAAAAACCAAAGAGTAACATTGAGGTAGTTTCTATTTTAGTTTTTATTGGTTTACTATATGGTATTCATTATATAGTGTAGTGTATACCCAATTACTGTTAATAGCTCAGCTTATTGAAGAATATATTGAGTACATTTATTATATTGATGTAATTTAGACTTAGGTTTTTTCACATCGCTTTACTGTATGATAGTTGAGTTGTGGCAGCCCCTTTGGCGTCCATGTACGAGGTGCCTCTGTAGATGTGTAGGCTTTCACTTTAACATAGCTTCTTTGGTTCTTTCGGTAAAGTCACGTAGAATGAGAATAAAATAATAAATTGATAAAATAAAATAACACAATAATATTCTCACGACGTTTCGGCCACAACACAAGCGGCCTTCATCAGGTGAAGGGACGAGACTATCTGGTAGGACAGTGCTGGAGTGAAAGAGCCACGTTCAGATCACGGCCTTTAAGCTGTGTGAGAGGAACAAAGCGCCTTGACAAAGGAATTAGCATATAATTTAGCATTGAAATGGCTGAATGATTAGCTTGTGACTGGTCACAGAAATAGCTATGTTAAAAGTTAAAGCATACACATCTGCAGAGGCACCCCTTGTTAAAGGAATTAGGTAAGAATCCACCCATTTTTTCGCCATATAGCATTGTGATATATAACGACTTATTGTTGGTAGCTTAGCTGATTGGAGAATATAGAGTTTATTAATAACATTAAGGTAATTTATATTTTAGTTTTTATTGGTTCACTCTATAGTACTATGAATAGCTCAGATGTATAGGCCTTGACTTCAACATAGCCATTTCTGTGACCAGTCACTAGCTAATCACTCAGTTATTTCAATGCTAAATTCGCCTAGTTATTTCAATGCTAAATTCTCCTGTTTGATTTGTACTAAGTGCCTCGGTGAATGTGTATGCTCTGACTTTAACGTAGCTATTTCTCTTCTTTGGTTCTTTCGGTAAAGTCACGTAGAATGAGAATAAAATAATAAATTGACAAAATAAAATAACACTAATATTCTCACGACGTTTCGGCCACAACACAAGCGGCCTTCATCAGGTGAAGGGACGAGACTGTCTGGTAGGACAGCGCTGGAGTGTGACTTTACCGAAAGAACCAAAGAAGATGAATCATTGCAGTCACGAAAGCTTTAAATCGAAAGTAGCTATTTCTGTGAGCAGTTACAAGCTAATCACTCAGCTATTTCAATGCTAAATTCTATGCTAATTCCATTGTCAAGGGGTGCCTCTGCGGATGTGTATGCTTTAACTTAGCTATTTCAATGCTAAATTCTATGCTAATTCCTTTAACAAGGGGTGCCTCTGCGGATGTGTATGCTTTAACTTTTAACATAGCTATTTCTGTGACCAGTCACAAGCTAATCATTCAGCCATTTCAATGCTAAATTATATGCTAATTCCTTTGTCAAGGCGCTTTGTTCCTCTCACACAGCTTAAAGGCCGTGATCTGAACGTGGCTCTTTCACTCCAGCGCTGTCCTACCAGACAGTCTCGTCCCTTCACCTGATGAAGGCCGCTTGTGTTGTGGCCGAAACGTCGTGAGAATATTATTGTGTTATTTTATTTTATCAATTTATTATTTTATTCTCATTCTACGTGACTTTACGGAAATAACCAAAGAAGATGAATCATTGCAGTCACGAAAGCTTTAAATCGAAATTTAACATAGCTATTTCTATGACCAGTCACAAGCTAATCCCTCAGTTATTTCAATGCTAAATTCTCTTGTTTGATTTGTACTAGGTGCCTCTGTGGATGTGTAGGCTTTGACTTTAACATAGCTATTTCTATGACCAGTCACAAGCTAATCACTCAGCTATTTCAATACTAAATTCTCCTGTTTGATTTGTACTAGGTGCCTCTGTGGATGTATAGGCTTTGACTTTAACATAGCTATTTCTATGACCAGTCACAAGCTAACCCCTCAGTTATTTCAATGCTAAATTCTCCTGTTTGATTTGTACTAGGTGCCTCTGTGGATGTGTAGGCTTTAACTTTAACATAGCCATTTCTGTGACCAGTCACAAGCTAATCACTCAGCTATTTCAATGCTAAATTCTCCTGTTTGATTTGTACTAGGTGCCTCTGTGGATGTATAGGCTTTGACTTTAACATAGCTATTTCTATGACCAGTCACAAGCTAATTCCTCAGTTATTTCAATGCTAAATTCTCCTGTTTGATTTGTACTAGGTGCCTCTGTCGATGTATAGGCTTTGACTTTAACATAGCTATTTCTATGACCAGTCACAAGATAATTCCTCAGTTATTTCAATGCTAAAGTCTCCTGTTTGATTTGTACTAGGTGCCTCTGTGGATGTGTAGGCTTTTACTTTAACATAGCCATTTCTGTGACCAGTCACAAGCTAATCACTCAGCTATTTCAATGCTAAATTCTCCTGTTATGTAAACCCCTTTGTCAAGGTGCCTCACTTCTCTAAACCAGCTTAAAAGACGCTACGAATCTTAACAACGTTCATTGAAGCTCTGTCGTCCCAACAGGTTTGTTCCTTTCACCTGAAGAAGGCCACTTGTGTTGTGGCCGAAACGTCGTGAGAATTTTATTGTGTTATTTTATTTTATTATTTTATTCTCATTCTACGTGACTTTACCGAAAGAACCAAAGAAGAAGACACTTGCCACCATCCTTCAAACCCACTGGTAAAAAAGAGCATTATAGTATAATGTTTATATATAATATAATGTTTACATTATAGTATAATGTTTATATATACTATAATGTTTACATGATAGTATAATGTTTATATATAATATAATGTTTACATTATAGTATAATGTTTATAATATGTTTACATTATAGTATGTTTATATATAATATATTGTTTACATTATAATATAATGTTTATATATAATATATTGTTTACATTATAGTATACTGTTTATATATAATATGTTTAGATTATAGTATAATGTTTATATATAATATGTTTACATTATAGTATAATGTTTACGCGAGAGCCGGAGGCTTGTGGGACCTCCGCCATAAGGTTCATATAACCGACGCATGAGACATGTACAGTGATTGACATCAGACAGTGGTATTATGATAACTTTTCTACGTCTTTCCTGCTACTGTACACACCTACAATGTCTCACTGAAAGTTACGATTGAAATTATACGGGAAAAAAACCCATCGGTAATGCTTTCAGTAATTTTATGCGATTTTCGTGCAGATATCCCCGATAGTTTTAGATCAAATTTCAACAAATGGTTTACCAATTACATTCCTTTTAAATGTGATTACCGTAACTGAGTTACAGGTTAACTGGATTGCTTTTCTGCAGGTCAATTACAGCTAAATTTTATGCAATCAGGAATATACAGAACAGTACCTCAGTCAGTGGTGTGTTAAAGCAAAGAGTGAATCAAAGCACAGGACCCCCGTAGCAACCATTCATGACAATTCTAGATTTGAAGCTTTCGTGACTGCAAGGATTCATACTCTTTGGTTTTATTCGGTAAAGTCACGTAGATAAAACAAATCAAAATAAAAGAAAATAATTAAATCACGACGTTTCGGAGGCAACACAAGCTTCCGTTTTCAGGAGGAAGCTTGTGTTGTCTTCAGGTGGAAAAGTCAACGCAGATATTCTGCGTTGACTTTTCCACCTGAAGACGGAAGCATCGTGATTTAATTATTCGTGATTTAATTATTTCCTTTTATTTCGTTTTATTTTATCTACGTGACTTTACCGAACAAAACCAAAGAATATTCATGACAATTGTCTCCTTGCGTTTGGTAAGTTACTAAACATATTCGAACATAAACATGACTGTTTTGATTCTCACAAGCTGAGCTATGTTTCCTACTCCATGGAAACCCAGTAGCTCTTACAGATGAAGTATCTTTCCTTCTAATCTCCTGAATGATTGTTTTAGTTGAAGTGTCTTACATATTGGACTCCTGCTTAGTGTTATCATATAACACACACTGTAACATTACGTACTAAGTATTGCTTTGTGGTGAAGTGAACAGTGCTCTTACTAATGTATAGCCTTGTCCCCGGCCATAGGATTAGGGAATTTCCACCACTGGCTCTGAAGCACTGGATAACACAGGAGATTAGCACCGTCTCGATACGCATTTGAGTAAGAAATTACCTTTTGACTTGAACACTACGTAACATTACACAAGCACCGATATTTCACCCGCACTGGACTTTGAGATGGTTTGGCAAAACGCCTACAAACTTCCCACTCTCGACTTGCTGAGCCTGCTCAGCAACAACATGGAATTAAAAAATAAATTTTTTTGTCGTTTTGTGTTCACAGATTGTTCATTCGCAATGGCTGACGTGTCCAGCCTGTCTGGGATTTCTCCCTCCACCCTGGTTCTGATTTTGGCTGCGTTCGTTTTGTCTGCAATGTGAGTAACTCCGCTGCTGGGCTTTACGGCTACTCTCTCACCGGGTCACTTCACGTGACCCGGTGACACCTCTCATGAGCAGCACCTCGTGCGAAGTCTTCGATTGCGACGATGAATTTGGTCTGTGCAGTAAACGTGAGCGATTAACAGGTTCCTGCAGGGTGGGCTGGTAGGAATATTGGAATTTTTCACTTCGTTAAAGTATTGAAAGGGGACGGACGGACGGACACACTAATCTATTGCAGGCTGGTACACTCAGTTTACAACTTCGTTCCTACCAGTATAACCGCCAGTCCTCGAGTCAAGGCCGCTGAACGGGCATTGTTTTGTAAGCTGAATTATGATTCTTATTTTTGAAATACGTATTTTAAAAAAGACTACGTATGTTTAACCGCCCTAATTGGAGGTGCATTCTTTAGCATCGCGCCGTTGTGGGGGACTATAAATAAAACAAATATAGCAGCGTCTCCTCACATTTGTCTCTCCAAATATCTAAAACAATCACGGTATATACGACTATAGAGTAGGTAGATACTTTTCGATTTAAAGCTTTCGTGACTGCAATGATTAATCTTCTTTGGTTCTTTCGGTAAAGTCACGTAGAATGAGAATAGAATAATAAATTGATACGTGACTTTACCGAAAGAACCAAAGAAGATAGGTAGATACTACTGTAGAGTTTGTAGTTACTGCTACTGTAGAGCATGCCTTTTGTCCATTTGTCCATCAACAAAATTATAAGGGGCTTGTAGAAGTCCAAAAAGTTATAGAAAGTTTCAAGTTTCAAGTTTAATTTATTAGGTAGAGCCCTGTGAGCCATGCGGCTCTTAAGTCGGGTGCAACCGCAACAAACAAAATATGAATCTACATTGCAGAAAACTATTACACCACAACCAGACCAAAATAAAGCTACAAAAACAATGTAACAACAGTAATCATAGGAACTGTGATTTTAAATTTAACAATAAACGATATACATAACACATACGACAAAACCTGCAGCCATAGCTGGCAGAACGACACTCCCAGTGTATGATGTGTGAGTGAGGCTGCAGCAGCGTGAGTGTATGATGTGCGAGTCAGTGTATGATGTGCGAGTCAGTGTATAATGTGTGAGTGAGGCAGCAGCAGCGTGAGTGAGTGTATGATGTGTGAGTCAGCGTATGATGATTGAGTCAGTGTATGATGTGTGAGGCAGCAGCAGCAGCGTGAGTGAGTGTATGATGTGTGAGTCGGCTTATGATGTGCGAGTCAGCGTATGATGATTGAGTCAGTATTAGGTTGAGTGAGTGTATGATGTGTAAGTCAGCGCACGATGTGTTAGCGCATGATGAGTGAGTCAGTGTATGATGTGTGAGCAAGTCAGCGGCAGTGTGAGTTAGTGTATGATGTGCGAGTGAGCCAGCACACGATGAGTGAACCTGTGTATGATGAGTGAATGGGTCAGTGGTTGTGCTAGTGTATGATGTGTGAGTAAGCGCATGATGAGCGAGTCAGTGCATGATGTGTGAGTGAGTCAGTGCATGGTGTGAGTGAGTCAGTGCATGATGTGTGAGTGAGTCAGTGCATGGTGTGAGTGAGTCAGTGCATGGTGTGAGTCAGTGTATGATGTGTGAGTGAGTCAGTGTATGATGTGTGAGTGAGTCAGTGTATGATGTGAGTGCATCGGTGTTGGCTCCCTCTGCTCGCGCCGTCGCCCCCCCCCCCCCGGCTCCGTCGCCCCCCCCCCCTCAAAAAATGTTATTACCCCCGTGTAGCCATATAGACCTACACACCCTACATACAATAGAGGAGTATTTAGTGACTCTATAGTAATATCTGGCTCCACAGTAGTATCTACTGACTCTACAGTAGTATCTACTGACTCTATAGTAGTATCTACTGACTCTATAGTAATATCTGGCTCTACAGTAGTATCTACTGACTCTACAGTAGTATCTACTGACTCTATAGTAGTATCTACTGAATTCTACAGTAGTATCTACTGACTCTATAGTAGTATCTACTGAATTCTACAGTAGTATATACTGACTCTACAGTAGTATCTACTGACTCTACAGTAGTATCTACTGACTCTATAGTAATATCTACTGACTCTACAGTATTATCTGCTGACTCTATAGTAGTATCTACTGACTCTACAGTAGTATCTACTGACTCTATAGTAGTATCTACTGACTCTGTAGTAGTAACTACTGACTCTACAGTAGTATCTGGTTCTACAGTAGTATCTACTGACTCTATAGTAGTATCTACTGACTCTGTAGTAGTAACTACTGACTCTACAGTAGTATCTGGTTCTACAGTAGTATCTACTGACTCTATAGTAGTATCTACCGACTCTTCAGCAGTATATACTGACTATAGTGGTATCTACTGACGGTAGTATTATCTACTGACTATAGTAGTAAGTCACTCTATAGTAGTATCTGCAGACCCTTTAGTAGTATCTGCAGACTCTATAGCAGTGTCTGCGGATTATAGCAGTATCTCCTGACTCTATAGTCGTATCTACTAACTGCAGCAGTATATACTGACTTTAGTGGTATCGGACTGTAGTATTATATACCGACTCCATAGTAGTATCTACCGACTATAGTAGTAACTACTGACTCTACAGTAGTGTCTACTGAATCTATAGTAGTATCTATTTACTCTATAGCAGTATATACTGACTATAGTAATAACTCTATATCAGTATCTGCTTACTCTATAGCAGTATCTACTGAATCTACAATAGGCTCTACTGACTCTGCAGTAGTATCTCCCGACTTTACAGTCGTATCTACCGACTCTGCAGTAGTATCTACTGACTCTATAGTCGTATATACCGACTCTATAATAGTATATATATCGACTCTATTGTTTTATATATTTCTTATTTTATTGTTTCCCTTCTTCGTGACTTTACCGAAATAACCAAGAATATGACTCTATAGCAGTTAACGACTAACTTAACAGAGTGCCGTGGTGAGGCCTAGTCCAGTGCAGAGCCCCTGGCCTTGCCTAGATTGCCCAGCCGGCCGAGGTGGCACCTTGGCAGACTGGGGCTGCACTGCTACACCCCCCCCCACCCCCACTGTCTGCTCTACAGTAGCAGTAACTACAAACTCTACAGTAGTAGCTACCTACTCTATAGTAGTATCTACCTACTCTATAGTCGTATATACCGACTCTATAATAGTATATATTGACTCTATAATACTAACTTAACAAAGTGCCGTGGTGAGGCCTAGTCCCGTGCAAAGCCCCCGACCTCGCCTAGCTTGCCCAGCCAGCCTAGGTGGCACCATGGCCGGCTGGGGCTGGGCCACTACCCCCCCCCCAACCATCCCTCCGCCCGTAATACAGTAGTAGTATCTACAGAAAATAGTAGTAGTATCTACCGACCCTATAGTAATAAGTGCACACATTGTGGTGGGGGGGGACATCACACTTTTAAGAATTGACCTCAGCGTTGTGTATTTTTGTTGAATTTTGAACGCGAATGAGAATTCCCCCCCCCCCACCGAGTCAGCATTCTCGCGCGTGCGCAGATGCATGCTCTAGCGCCACCCTGTGCTTATAAAAGGAATAAATTTGTTAATTTAACTACTTTAAACTTGACAGATGTAAAATGCGAATAGCGCTTTTTCATCTCGGGGCATATCGCGTGGTGTCCGTGTACTTGTTTTTAATACGTAAACCCCACAGTTTGTCAGTTTTAAAAAGTCGCAAGGTATGGTCTTCTGCAAACTCTGCTTGTCTTGAAACAATGCTGCTGAATCTTCTTTGGTTCTTTCGGTAAAGTCACGTAGAATGAGAATAAAATAATAAATTCATAAAATAAAATAACACAATAGAATTCTCACGACGTTTCGGCCACAACACAAGTGGCCTTCATCAGGTGAAGGGACGAGACTGTCAGGAGGACTTTACCGAAAGAACCAAAGAAGATGAATCCTTGCAGTCACGAAAGCTTTAAATCGAACAATGCTGCTGAAATTACGCACTCCCAGAAGACTGTGCTGCTGATGGTTTGTATAGGATTCTTTTTTTAAACGTGGAGAAACGGCTATGTGAAGGGAGCCATTGTTTGCCTATCTGTTTTGTATGTGTCAAGGAGAGCCGCCGCAAGGTTGCAGTGGGTTCGTCTTTCATTCATTTTCTCCCATCCACACCTGTCCCCAGTCGTCCCAATCTCGTTCTCGCCAAATCACCCCTCTTCCCGCCTGTTCTCTCCCTTATATCTCCTCTCCTGCTCCTCCCCCTTCTCCTGTCACCGTCCCACTCCCCCTCCTATTGGTGGGAATGCTTCCCCTGACACCTCTTTCGCACGGTACGTAGCCAACGATAACATTGGGTCCACAGGCTAACTCTGTTATGGAGCTTATGCAATGTGTGTGATTTGTAAAAGCACACTTTAAGCGTTACATGCTAGAAAGAAGACATTATTAAGAAAATTGGATGTAAGACAACTTGATTTTAAACAAAATTGTACACGTTAAGAGAGGAACAGAGAGGTAACGTTACATTTTACCACGAATGATTGGTTCAATTATTTCTAACACGTCTAACTTAGACTGCACTACTAAATAACATTTATGTTCTATCCCAGTGCCCTGCTTTGGCCGTACAGAATCTTCAAGAAGATGGGCGTACCTGGGCCAACACCTCTTCCGTTATTCGGAACCTTCTTCCACTACCTCCAGGTACGTTTCACCTTGTGTGGGATTCGATGAGATTTAGTTAAAACCACTTGAGAGCCCCGTGGAGATGACCTGACCACTTTTTTCAAGGAAGAACCGAGAACATTGAAACCAATACAATGTATCATACATATTCTGAGAGTTGCATGGCATTTATATGCAACCACAAAGCCTAAAGCAATATAAACTTGAGCAGTATAAATCACCAAGCACGTTGCAATCATGTCTAACTTAAACGAAAACTTAAATGATGAGATGCATATTTAAGTGAGATATAAGTTCAAAAACACATTGATATATTGCAATTATGCAATTGAATAGCCCGATTTTAAAGTGCATGCAATCTAGTTTCATTCGTTAGAAGCATCACCTCTCTGATCTGTCAGTCATCACGCATGGCAGGTTATAACAGTAACGTCCCAAAGGCCTGTTTTCTTATTTTAACTCATCCTTTATGCTGTCAACCCAGCACAAGGATAACTATTTGAGGACCGTTTTATAAATATAAATTAATATCCTTATCATCCAGAGTTCTTGTATCAGGATATAGCCGAGGAATCTCCCAATAATACAGAGGCAAGATGATAACTACCTCGCCTGGTATACAGGAGGTCTTGGGTTCGACCCTGACGCCTGTATACAGTATGTTGAGCGTGCATGTTCTCCCTGTGGTCGCGTGGATTTTCCTCCGGGTTCTGCACTTTTTCCATCCACATTTAGAAACATGCATCTAGAGTATTTGGCTGCAGTAAAGTTCCACATGATAAAAGTACTGCAGTTTAATAGTTCCAATGCGCTGCCTTCCCAGCTTGGTTCTATTGGTGACAAGACTGATCACAAATTCTCAACATATTTACAGTTGTCACTATCATCAGCCATGATCAATCCACTGCTGGATGAAGGCTTCCCCAAGTTTATATTACCAAGCACCTGTACAAAAGCCGATTGCTTTGGTCTATCTCCCCAGTTAACGCCCTCTTCTGCACGTTCCTTCACTTTGGCTGCCACTTGATCCGTATTCGTGACCATCAATAATTATTCCTTACAGTGACGTCTCTTGCCAAAGCCTGCATACTTTTCTTAACAGTTAGAATTATGTATTTATCCTGCGTATCCTCTCCAATCCACGCGTTTCTCAAGTCTGTCGATGGAATTCCGAGTTACGCTTCTCCCCATGCTTCGTTGCTTATTTTTTCAGTATTTGTAAAATGTTCATTGTTCATATCCGTGTTTCTGACCCATGTCATAGTCGGTAATAAGCATGGATTATAAATATATATTTTCAAGGCCTATCGATTGGAATTTTGCATTTCATTATTAACTTCAGATTTCCCATCCAAACAGACCCACGGCCGCCAATTCATTTTAACTATTTGATTCCGGTTTAACTTTATATATCTGTCACAGGTAAACATGTTCTTCTGTGTTTTCCAGTTGCGTCCTTCTGCCAAGATATCTCCCAAATAGTTTAGAGTGAACTTGTTGCATGTAACTTCTTTGGTGCGCACATTAAATTCTGAGATCAAGTTTACAGCCACACTGAGATTACATGAAGCACGACAAATACGTCTTCCAAGCGGAACCTGACGGTGATGACACTTTCCCCAAAGTTATAATCACTGCGACATTTGACAATATTTTTTTGTTGAAAATGTAATTGTAGAAACGAAAGCAGAAGTACGGAGAAAATAATAACCACCAGATTTGCAGACGACAGTGAATATAATGTCTAATTGGTGTTTTTACTCAAAATGTCTTTACATTTTTTGTAACACGGTGTATTTTATGCTATGTATGGTACATTGAAAATATATTCATGGTATACCAACTCTTACATATGCAGTAGTAGGGTGGGTGAGGTCAGATGCCCTTTTTTGTCCTGGTGCTCACACGTGGTCCTCTGTTGAGTTGCAAAAACCTCGAGAGGAGGGCACTAGTCTGCACCTAAACCTGATCGTGGCTGATGGCATCATTTCTGTCAACACCAGGACAAAACTGGCCTCTTATCCCAACTCCACCGTACGACAATAATGTGCATAAGCCAACGGTTAAACTTATGACATCGAACTCACACTGTGTTTTCTTCTTGATTGTTTTCACAGGGTTTCAAAGAATTTGATCAAAGGAGCTTTAAAAAATATGGGAGAGTCTGGGGGTAAGTTAATACATCTTTCTGAACATTTTTGAAACTTTACGTGCGTCTGTATATATTTTTTTGTGGAATGCTACGTTTAAATGTGTAAGAATAAAAAAAAAACATGAATCTATGATTAATAGCAAGACAGTGTCGGATGCGTTTGGTAAAATATATATACTCAAACCGCTCACACTAGTACTTTTTGGTGTGGAGTGATATGTATTGAGGATAACATGCTGTGATTTAGAGAAAAATTTAGTCGAATAAAGTTGTTGCTATGTTGAAGAGTGATCCGCACACATTGTTACTATTGTTCAGAGTGTGTTCATTGCTCTCCAACATACCAGTGTACTGAGCAATAAACATTTAACGTGTTTGTTCACATCATTAGACCTCCTTTGCCAGTACCAAAATGTAATAATAGGGGTTTTTCCCCCTTTTTTCTGGCAACAAAACTGAAACCTTTTTTTGCGAGGATTAATGTCTGCATTAACCACAATACCTGCATTTTGACTGCTGGTATTGTGGTTAATGCAGACATGAATCCTTGTAAAAAGGTTTCAGTTTTGTTGCCAGAAAAAAGAGGAAAAACCCCTATTATTGTGTTTGTTCACGTGACGTTTTTTTTTTTGAAACCAGGACTTACGATGGCCGGTTGCCTCTGCTCGTGGTGGCTGACACAAGCATCCTGAAAACGGTCCTGGTGAAGGATTCCCTGGAGTTCTTCACCAACCGCCGGGTAAAGCAGTGCCACGTCACCCAAATACGAATGAGAAATGCCAATGTGAGGTTCATATGCGACTTTAGTAACCGCCATGTCTCCATCGAAACACAATAATGCATATGGTTTCAATGTTTTTTTTTCTGCTTGTCTGCAGTTTTAAAATGTATTGTTTCACAGTTTACTATAAGTTGAATGGCTTTTTAAATGACAACCGCCTAAATATTCACGACTATGTTATTAAAACATATCTAAAACTACGAAATACAGGTGTAGGGTATACACATCACTAACAATGTCATTATCCAATTCCTTCATTTTTATGAAATATATGTAGTATTTTTCGTAAAACTGTATTTCCATGTCAATGTGTTTCATTATTTTAACTGTTACATGTGCTATGGATTTTCCTTGTTCTCTTATTTTTTTCATAGAAAATCGGGCTGAATGGCCCCTTCAAGGAAGCTATGAGCTTAGCTAATGATGAGAAGTGGAAGCGCATCCGTAACGTACTGTCCCCAACTTTCAGTGGTGGCAAAATCAAACAGGTAAAAACACCCGAAAAAGTCGATGGTTGTTTCTTTTTTCAGTGGTGTTGCTGATAAGTCCAAAGTACGTTTGTACCAAATACTAAACAAAACGTCCCCGTCTTTTTTAGATGTGCCCACTGATTGTACGTTGTGCTGATGCACTCGTGAAGAACCTCCATGAAAAATGCCAGTCTGGGAAGTTAGTGGACCTAAAAGAGTAAGTGCATGAAGCATTTGAAAAAAACACATTTCAACAAGTCCTGTGAGTGATGAGAAAACTCAGAGGGAATGGTGAGTGGATGCTGGAAACAACTAAAAGTAAGACTTGCAAGGCGATTTCTCGACACAAAAAGGTGCAATCGTAACAATCACCTCGGTCCTCCCATCATGCATTGCGTGTCACGTGACATCACCAAACTGCATGTATCATGCAAACTGTGTGTATCATGCAGTATGGTTATGGTTCGTGCATTTCACTGCCAAAAAAGCCTTTTGTAGGATTTTGGTCGTACATATCTTCATATGGATGGATATCGGCAGGGTTCATTGAAAATTTACACTTCAGTGTGATACATGTGTGCATTTGGGAAAAGTTCAATTGTAATTTCCAGTCCACATGTCAAGTTTTATAGATCAGTGCATTGCGCGTCGGTATACCCTAACGTCGTGGTATTGATATGAATTTTGCCTCTGCTAGAACATTCGGGGTGTACAGCATGGACGTGATTGCAAGCTCGGCGTTCAGTACGGACGTGGACTCTCAGAACAACCCCAACGATCCATTCGTCATTCATGGGAAAAGCATTTTCAAGATCAACTTATTGAACCCTTTGGTTGCACTAATCGGTAAGTATGGTAACTTTACAAGTGACACGTCGAGGCAAATGGTTTTATGTTTTACAGGCATTAATTTAACTACATTTCTGATTCAATAAATTTCTACAAAGAGGCCATTTGGCCAACGCAACGTTATATTTTGTTCCTACTTAGTTCCAGTGTATGTTGATGACCAAGTCATTGCCTGATTTTGAGATTGGACAGGGGACAGCAGGTGAAGGGAGATATTATGATTTTAAAAAGGTAACATTCGGACGTGGAGATTTTAAGTCAGATCTTAAGATTACAAGGATCCCACCACCCCTGCCAGAGGAGCCATTGTCCCCTGTAGAGGTGGTGTGTCCTGGGAGGGTGGCTTCAGTTGAATACATACAGTGTTGAAAGCAGTTCACGTCTCCATATATATTAAAGGCAAAGTTGTGAATACGTGTGTGTGTGTGTTCAAAATGTTTAGCGTACTTCCCGACATGCAACAAACTTGAAATTTGCCATGTGGGTACTTTCCAGACTGTACACCATGCAAAAAAATAAATTTTTGGTGGGGGGAGCTCAATAATGCATATATATTTTGCACAGCAAGTGAGCTGTGACGTCAAATCTGTCACGTGATCCGCGCATGTGGAAGCCTAACGCATTGTAGTGTAGCGATTAGCGCCGCGCTACGAACCCGGCGACCCGAGTTCGATTCCCGCTGACGGCCACCACAGGTGACGATTATTTTAACCGGTCCTGGGCCTCCCCTAGGTCGACTCAGCCTCAAACGAGTAACTGTTGTGGTGTGTGAACATCGCCACTGGGGAGAGAAAGGCGGCCGGGTGTAGTGAATCCAAGTCCCGGGCGAAGCCGGGTGGTACAGCTAGTACGTACATATGTTGGAGACCCAGCGGCACCTGGCCAGTTTATCATAACTTCTGTATTATAAAGGTTATAAAATATTTCTCCTTTGCAGCGATCTTGCCAGAGCTTGTCCCACCGTTAGAATTCCTGGGATTATCTTTTTTTCCAAAAAAAGCTTCCTCATTCTTCACGACAATTGTCCGGAAGATGGTAAAGCAACGCCAAAAGGGGCTTCACGACATGGCGAGTCCTTTCCCACAATGCTCTTTTACAATATTGGTTCTGTTTGATATTACAATGAGACATTTAAACGTAATTTTTCATCTATCAATGCAGAAAAATTGTAATACAACAGTAGAGTATTCCATGACTGAAGGCATGTATGTATGTATGTTGAACCTATTTCGCACCGAACGTAGCCAACTGTGCTAATGAGAGGTGCGGGGGAAGGACAACAAATAAAAACACAAAAAGTAGTTTTCAATCTAGATTTTATGTAGGGTACATCTGTTGGTGTTTTGTCCAGAGAAATCTAACTTGTCATGAAATTGTGACCTTTTATTTTTTTAGGGACGAGTCGACTTTCTTCAATTGATGGTTGATGTTCAACTTTCTGAATCCATGCAAAAAGGAGATTATCCTCATTCAGATAAATGTAAGTATTTGTTTTTACATTCACAGGTCCACCTTCAATTCACACCCATTCACAATTTTACTTCGTATTGAGTGTACAATCCCAGATATTTAGGCGATTATGGTGAATGGCGAACATATATAAACATTCACTATGCTCTCAATGTGAAACACTGTAGTTCATGTTCACAATACAATTTTGATTTAAAGCTTTTGTGACTGCAGGGATTCATATTCTTGGTTCTTTCGGTAAAGTCACGTAGAAGGGAAACAATAAAATAATAAAAATATAAAACAATAAATATTAAACAATAATAAAAATATAAAACAATAAATATTAAAACAATAAATATTGTTTTATATTTTTATTATTTTATTGTTTCCCTTCTACGTGACTTTACCAAAAGAACCAAGAATACAATACAATTTTTAAAATATTGTCCTGAATGCTCATTTTGGGAAAGAAAGCACTTTTTAAATTAACTCCATTGAAGGGGTTGTAATGACAATCATGACGTCACTTGAGCTCTATATAATTCCTCGCACAGTACACACCAAACCATCCAGGATGCGCCCGATCTGATCATATTTCAAGCTTAGCAAGTTGCCATAGCGCTTATGGGGCTAGTATCAGGTAGCCGGAGAGCCGGATACCCCTTGAGTGGAGGTGATATTACATTTAAAATAAATACGGCTTATGGTTTCAAATAAATACAGTTTGGACACCAGACCCTGCCACGTTTACAAGACGTGCACAATGCACCCCGCTAACCATCTGCTGGGTAGAAGACCTTGTCTAGTCAGCGATGGAAACCCACACGACTGGAGGAAAGCAACGGTCCAGCCTCCGTGACAGGCGGAATGGCAGAGCGCAGCCGCTACCATCAAAACCACCGCCCACCATCAAAACCACGACCTACCATAAAAAACCACGGTCCACCATCAAAATCACCGCCCCCACCATCAAAACCATCGCCCATGATCAAAACCACTGCCCCCACCATCAAAACCACCACCCATGATCAAAACCACTGCCCCCACCATCAAAACCACTTCCCCCACGATCAAAACAACTGCCCCCACCATAAAAACCACTGCCCACCATCAAAACCACTGCCCCCACCATCAAAACCACTGCCCCCACCATCAAAACCACTTCCCCCACGATCAAAACAACTGCCCCCACCATAAAAACCACTGCCCACCATCAAAACCACTGCCCCCACCATCAAAACCACTGCCCCCACCATCAAAACCACTGCCCCCACCATCAAAAACACTTCCCCCACGATCAAAACAACTGCCCCCACCATAAAAACCACTGCCCACCATCAAAACCACTGCCCCCACCATCAAAACCACTGCCCCCACCATCAAAACCACGCCCACTATCAAAACCACCACCCACCATAAAAACCACGCCCACTATCAAAACCACGCCCACCATCAAAACCACGCCCACCATCAAAACCACCGCCCGCCATCAAAACCGCCGCTCACCATCAAAACCACCGCCCACCATCAAAACCACCACTCACCACCAAAACCACGCCCACCATCAAAACCACCGCCCACCATCAAAACCACCACTCACCATCAAAACCACGCCCACCATCAAAACCACCACTCACCATCAAAACCACCGCCCACCATCAAAACCACCACTCACCATCAAAACCACGCCCACTATCAAAACCACCACTCACCATCAAAACCACCACTCACCATCAAAACCACCACTCACCATCAAAACCACCGCTCACCATCAAAACCACCGCCCACCATCAAAACCACGCCCACTATCAAAACCACCGCCCACCAGCAAAACCACCGCTCACCATCAAAACCACCGCCCACCAGCAAAACCACCGCTCACCATCAAAACCACGCCCACCATCAAAACCACGCCCACTATCAAAACCAGCGCCCACTATCAAAACCACGCCCACTATCAAAACCACCGCCCACTATCAAAACCACCACTCACCATCAAAACCTCGAGGAACGACCGCCGGGCTTTGAGCTGCTGCGACGCCCTATGCGGCCAGCTCAGTAGGCTGGGGAGAGGCGCGGTGCGATGAGCAAAAAGACCGGGGGGGGGTGGTCCGGCAACCTGCGGCTCTTTAAAAAGGACCGCCTCGTCACGTTATTTATTAAGGACCGCCGTCTCGTAGTCACCACGTGATTTGCTGACTCTTGAAATATTGAGGGGTTTTTTTTTACCGAATTTGAAAACAATTTTCACTTCTTGACTTCTTGTTATTTTGGTTGCCGACCCCTGGACCCGCTTGTGTGGTGGAGGCCATGGGGGGGTGGGGGGAGATTCCCACGCACGATCAATAACAGTGGAGAATATTTCAACCGGCCCTGGGGCGGCTCCCCTAGGTCGACTCAGCCTCAAATTAGTACCTGGTGGGGGTGTGTAAACATTGCCACTAGGGAGACAAAGGTGGCTGTGCGTGGTGCTAGCTACTCACCCCCTCGTGTGCCGTGCCGGCCTTCGTAGGTGCTCACTAACAGCACTTGCCCCAACAGTCTGTTAAGGCTACACTGGGGGATCTTCGTCTTAGGTGGCAGGGATGTGGAGTAGATGGAGGATGGCGCGCAACTGTTGCCTGGCTGCTCCTCCTGAAGGGGCCTTGCTGAGGGCCCTCACTAGACTGAACGACACAAACCCTGAGACCGTCGCATCGTTGATGAGGAACTCCTCGTGAGACTAGGACCTTGCCGTTTTCTTTTTTACTTTTTGTGCTCTACGTTCGCATGCGATGCATATGCACGGTACAAGCGTGAAAATGACCAAAGCAGTAGGAATTTAACTCATTGTACGATGGCATATTAATGCCAGTAGCTTTTGCCGGGTAGTGGCGGCGCACATCTGGAATCCAGCACGATGGAGGCGAGAGTGTGTGGATCACACGAATGTTATTGAAGCTCCCTTCCAATGAATTTCGATGTGCCATACCCTGGTTTGCCAGGAAAAGGAGGTGCAGCAAAGTGTGGACTAATATCACGCGTCGCTTTTTTTATGGGATAGAGTGTTGCCCCCTCGCATGCATTGGTTTTCACCAAGTGCTCTGGTTTCCTCCCACATGCACTCATTGATAGAGCACTGCAGAGCTTGGGAAATTGTTTACACCAGCTCGCCGCTTGGCTGCTGTCTAGTGCGTCTGTGGTTCCTCAGAAATTGTGAGATAAAATTCACTTGAGGATGCTGTATAAAACTAAACAAGATCATTCAAACTAAACAAGATCATTCAAGCTTTCGTGACTGCAGTAATTCATATTATTAACTCTTTCAGTAAAGTCACGTTAAAGGGAAACAATAAAATAATAAAATATATATAAAACAATAAAAATTCTCACGACGTTTCGACCATAATACAAACGGTCATCATCAGGTGTGAAAAGCAACGGCAAGAAACATTTGAAAGAAGTGGCGGTTTGCAAGGCATCTGGCTACCATGAGAGATTCGTTCATGAGGCTATCCACATATACAAGCATAGAGACAATTTCAACCGAGAAGATGGATTCTGGCTTAGCAATCATTGGAAAGATTTGATAAACCATTTCAGGTCTTAATTGATTGTTCACGCTTACGGTGGCTTTCAGACAGCATACATTAATTTTTCGTCTCCCCCTCCTATTTTCAGAACATAGATGGACTCGTCCTTCTAAATAAACTACCAAATCGCTGCCGTGGTGCTAACGGTTTTTTAAAATAAATAAAAACACCGTCTAAAAAATAAAAATAAATTAATTAATGCTAACCGACACACCTGATGACGACTGTTTGTGTTATGGTCGAAACGTCGTGAGAATTGTTATTGTTTCATATATATTTTATTATTTTATTGTTTCCCTTCAACGTGACTTTACCAAAAGAGCTAAGAATATAAACAAAAGTTATTTATGGTTTTAGGGAAAGGCTAACGTGTAATATTACCTTTGTTATTATTTTTTTCTTCAGATTCCACCACTATTTGCCAAGAGTCTTCTACTCCAGCTGGGCAAAACCGCTTGTGGTGCAAGTTTTGGGAAGAAAGAAAGAGGGCTGATTTACGACCAAATCAAGATCGCAGCTCCAGAGCAAAATAAGGCTTGAGAGATGTAGTGCCAATTAGAAGAGCCATTTTAACAATGTTAATCTGAAAGCAAATAATAGCATCTTACATAGATGTATATAGTGCCTTAGTTCAAGGCGCTTTACAATAATTATACAATTGTACATGAGATGATAGCCGTTAAAATAAGGAGTGGGGTTATGAAACGTTTTCGTGTAGCTACGGCGACAGTAAGGAGGACAGGTGGGAAGTGATTCTCGAGGTATTGGGGTAGGAGTGGTGATAGGGGTAGATTCTAACATCCACTTACAAGATATGAAAGGGTCACTTATTTTCGGACGTCACACAAGAGGGCCTCACAACGGGACTGGGTTTTTGTTGTCTAATGAGGTGGCCCCACATCATTCTGGGCCGGCCCATTTCTAGTAACCTCGGTTCGGCCCTGCACCGATGTTGATTAATAGAGGCATCTTGGCCTCTGTTTACATGTTTTTATCGACTGTAGTAAACCTCTTAAAGCTGCACTAAACTGGTTGGGGGGGGGGATGGCCTTTTCGGTTGTCAAGAGGTCTGGCGTACTAAAATAAAGAAATGCATAATTATCTGCATTACATTTTACGTATAATCAACACAACTTGGAAGATCAACAGTTTGACAATATTTTACTACGTAATAATAACAAGATCAATCACTATTTGTCCATGTTTGCTAGAGGTGGATGTTCTGGAGGGATTTTTTTGAAGAGCTTGAATAACATGATGGGCATTTTTTTTAAAATGCTGACTGGGGGGGGGGGGGGCTTTATAGACAGATCTGAGGCGTTGGGTCAATTCTCACCAACGTAGGGCCCTAATTTACAACTTGACCCCTCAGAAGTGTTTGCTCCCTGCCCTTCTCAGGCCGTCTGCTTGATGTTTCTAGATCCGTTTCTGGCCTGGACCTATAATCCCACAGTCTTAATCATGGGTTTACAGTATTCTGCACGACGACGCGAATGATTACTGTCGTCTAAGCATGAATTTGGTGACTGTACCCCTTTGTTGAATTTAATTTGAAGCGAGTATCCCCTTGCCTGACCCAACGTGGTTCTGAGAAATAAATGTATGCATAATGAACATCAATAAATTAATGTCCGTCGCGTGAGGCATCCCAGGCTTGCTAGTTAACTAACTGCAAGCGAACACAACAACATCTAAAGGACGCTCTGCATGCATGAGGCAATTTGTTCGCGCTCGCTGCTCTTGTAAACCACATGGTCGACGATCAGTGAGTTTTTAGAAAGGCCTTTTATTTCGTCCTAGGTTACCACGCGAATACAATAATTATCGTCGTTTTATATTGCCAGATTCGTACGTGATTATTCACCGATGAATCTCTCTCATCGTGTCCGATATAATTTCGCACATTTATAAATCATCTCACGCACCCCCCCCCCCCCCCCTGGTCAACCTCGTCTCAAAAAACAGGAGTGCTCGTGTGTGTGGAGACAAAGGCGGCCGTGCGTGGTACTGGACAACCCATCCACCCCCCTCATTGTGCCCTTAACGGGGGCCTTCACAAGTACTGCGAGCTAACGGCAAATTTTGCCCATAAGTAACGTAAGTTACTTCAAGGCTTTAACAAGAAGAGGAGTGGAGAGAGAATCTTTGTGGCTGAGGTCGCCACTGCAGAAGGCGAAGGCTGTCCAGGGGATGGCGCTCGTGTGACGCGACAATAATCAAAGCACCCTGGGCTTTGATGCTCGCCAAATAGCGCTGTAACAGGATAACATTAAATAAGCAAATAATTCACGCCGTTTCCATTGCAACACCAAGCAATCATCATCAGGTGGGAAAAGCACAGCAGTATTTGTTTTTGCTTAAAACAATGATTGCTGTGATTTTCCCACCTGATGATTGCTTGGTGTTGCAATCGAAAGGTCGTGATTTCATTTTTATTTTCTACCTACGTGACTTTACCGAAAGAACCAGAGAGTATGGATTCCTGCAGTCACGAAAGCTTCAAATCTAGAATGATAACATGAATATGCGACAGAATGAGAATTGTACACAATGCCAAATTAAACTAGTGCAGGGCCTGTAGCGTACGTTATGAAGGGGTCCCTAAATTTAAAATACACACAAATATTAAAACATTTTTTTTACTTGCATAGTAAAGGAATTGTATTTTTTTTCATTTGCTATACAGCCAGATAATACGACAAATCGCTAACCCTAAACACTTTTGTTACTTCGAATTGGGTGAAGTTGCTCGCACACTTTGCGGATTTCTATTTGGGTGACTGCTGTCGTTAGATTTTCACGTTTTAAGTTGAGAAATGACCACTCACCATCTTGGGATTTGCTAAAGGCAATTTAATGGGACCGACTGCAATAACTTTCAATGGTTTAAAGTGGGTTTCATTCCATTCGACGTGACCAGACCCTGAGACCTCCTTTGCCAGTAACAAGATATAGAACTAGGTTTTACCTTTTTAACTGGCACAAAAACTGACACCTTTATTCAAGGCATCATGTTTGCGATAACCACAACACAAGCAGTCAAAATGCAAACATTTCTAAACCTCCACGATGTTATGTTGAATGTTTGTATCGCAGTGACCGCCAAACTAATCAGTGAACTTGGGTTTGTTTTTTGCAACATCATCCTGTAACTGATACGAGCGTGTGCGTGTGTGTGTACGTCCAATTGTTTGGCTTCAAAGGACAATAAACTCTTTAAAAAAAATTGAAACGGTTATAAACTCACGGTCGAGAAGTACGTCAATGATTGCGGCGCCTGCTCCCACATCAACGCTTACTTTAATTACTTGATAACTTTATAAATGAATCTTCAATGTACAACTTTTGTTTGTGTGGAGTGAGGGTGACCGTGACTCGTTGACACGGAGCAGGCGCGCCTGAGACACGCGGCACCTGCTTCTTGGGCGAGGGCGATTCCAGAGTTTAGGAACCGTGGCGTTTTTTGACCTACACAAATATAAATAAACAAGTCCCTGCAGCGTGGGCTGGTAGGACAAGTCTCTGCGCTGTCTATTGCTGATTTTACACCCCCAACAGCACGAGATTTCACTTCGTTAAAGTATTGAAAGGGGACGCACGGACGGACACATTAATCTATTGCAGGCTGGTACACTCAGTTTACAACTTCCTTCCTACCAGCATAATGCGTCCATACAAAATGTCAATTGCTTTCAAGTAGCGAATTAATTGATGAATTGATGCCGATTTTGATACAGGCATGCATTGTCACCGGATCTGAAGTACGTGTGCACAATTTGGAATTGATTGGACAACGGGAAGTAGACTGACTTTTGATTACAAGATTTTGGCCACGACACAGGAATCAAGTTAAGTAAAACCGCTGAAATGAAACCGTAGAGAGAAAAACAAAGGACTCCCCATCACTTGCTCTGCACGTTTTTAATCGCGGAAAATGATCTCAAGGTGCTTGGCCATTTTGGGAAACACAACCAGGGCGGTATCGTTTACCGAGGTGTTTGCTGGGAGCTTTCGGGAATTGCAAACCCGTTTCGTGAAGAAACTCCCAGAATGCGGCGCGAAAGCAATGCAACACAAAAGCCAAAAGGACAAGAGCAGCAGTACAACTTGAAAAACGGCACCACAACCACAAACGTCTGCAGTAACATTGGGGCGGTTGTTGGACAGGCTACATCCATCAAACCGCTTAAATGCCAAATCTCTCACACTTTGCCTCTAATAAAAAAAAATACCCCGTATGCTTTTATATGAATGCTATATCGCCTTTTTATACAAGACAGATACCACCCCCTAAAGAGTGAAAAAATAAAGCTTCCTGATTTGGCAACAATGTCCATCTGGCCACTAAAAGATGTCTGTGACCAAAGAGGGTACACCATTTTTGAACAACCCTTCGACAATAACTTCACTTGGCTTACACGTTTATTACAATGAGCTGATCCATGGAAAATTGGGGAACATAAACCAAAAACGGCAGCAGTTGAAGTGGTGGCATGGATCGAAAATCATGGGATGAGCAGTTTAATAAATAATATTGAGCAACACCTGTGCCAAACTCTCGTCTTTGCCCCCCCCCCATTTCAGATCAGACTACCAATTGAGAGTCGCAGGGCAAACATTATACCCACCAATAGTATCCTGCCGTATACGGAGCGTCTCTGTGCAGATCTACGGAGCTACTATATATGGTCATTTGTTAAGAAAATACCCCGTAAAAGGCAAGTCTCGAAACTATATTGTGGTCCCTTGCCTGCATTGCAAGATTGTGAGACGATTGTGGTGCTTTATAACCTCCTACCCCCTTGCCTTCTAACCACGATTGACCTTGCATACCTTTATTTTATAATCCCAATAAACGTGTTCGTTTCAGCAGTGAGCCATTTATGGGGCCAGAATCGATTTTAAACGACCCAGAGCCGCTAGAACTTTCAGTCTAGAATCACTGCGGATGATTCGGAGACCACTCGGCCATTCTTGGTCTCGATGGTCTTGATCACCACCGTTTTTCTGGACTCGTGTTCCGGTGGTTCGCTGGCCACTGTCACGCTTCTGCCAAGGGTTCCGTTGAGTCTTGGACTTGCTTCACATACCCTGTTGTCTGTTCAAGGAGAACGCACGTGTGAGACCAAACGCAATGAAAGTTAAATAATATTTCATACGAGTTTGTGTTTTATATGAGGGCTCAATTAAAAAAAAATGTCTGTAATTCTGCTAGACCACCTTTAACGTACGGATCATCGGCGTAAGGGACTACCACTCGAGTATGAGGTAGGCAAGGTCCATGGTAATCTTCTAATTAGTAATATTTTATTTACAAATTGACTATTGTGACGCCTTGCTTTCCAGAGATCAGAGTAATCTCCTTAGGAGACTGCAGTCTGTACAAATCGTGGCCACCGGAAAGTGCTCACTCACGCTTCTTTTCAGGGGATCCTATCAAACCTGTGATCACGTCTTTGCACTGGTTTCCTGGTCACACCTGCATTGAGTTTAAATATTCCTTCTACTTTTTTGGGCTTCAAATGGGCTTGACCCACCCTTTATATCCCCGGAGTTCATTCAGTCATACACTCTGCTGAGATCTCTGAAATCTACCTATTGTGCCCCGAGTGAGTGTGACAGCGCTCCAGGCTTCAAACCTGGGATGACCCAGCAGGCTTTAATTTCCACTGCAACCAGGCTCTGCAAATTCCCCACCCTAGGAGGTCATGAACTTGCAATCGATGGAGGATATTTAAGTCCTGGCTGAAGAGCCCATGTTAAAAACGTCTTTATCTTTCGATTTAAAGCTTTCGTGACTGCAAGGATTCATCTTCTTTGGTTCTTTCGGTAAAGTCACCACCACGTAGAATGAGAATAAAATATTAAAATAAAACAATTAAATTCTCACGACGTTTCGGCCACAACACAAGTAGCCGTCCTCAGGTGAAGAAACAGGACTGTCCAGAAGTAGCCGTCCTCAGGTGAAGAAACAGGACTGTCCAGAAGACAGCACTGTCTTCACCTGAGGACGGCTACTTGTGCTGTGGCCGAAACGTCGTGAGAATTTAATTGTTTTATTTTATTATTTTATTCTCATTCTACGTGACTTTACCGAAAGAACCAAAGAAGACGTCTTTATCTTGTTTCTCTTGTCCCTGTCTTCCGGGTTATTCCTTATTGTTTTCCTTTACATGCATGGTGCTCTGGAGATCCATTGTTTTAAGGGTGAATTATGGATCTAAACTAGTATTATTATTAGTTATATAAACAGGATAATGGGGACAATAGTATCAAAGACTAAGGTAATGTGGAAATCCTAAATATTCTGGACTGTTTCCCGGCTGAAATTAAGCACTAGATATAACTATCCTACATGGATACGGTTTGTTAAATATAAACATAAGTGATAGATGTGAAATTATTGTAACAGTTTGAGGATGATGCACCTGCGTTAATCTTTCAATTTTTTTGTAAAAGCATGATTTTTGCCAATTTAGTGGCAGTAGTCATGTAAAGCTTTTTATTTATTTATTTCTTCGACCCATTCAATAATTAAGGGAGATTGTTGACGCTAAAAATATAATTTTACATAGCATATCCCTGGAATAATAATAACTTGTGAAGGCCCATGCAGCTCCATTTATCCTACAGTCGGCAGTAATTTTGGAACATATACTGACATCATTTGACTGTCACAATTGGGTAAATTCTCACGGAGAGCTCTTACCCGGAGAGTCGTACACATTGTTGTTGCTGCTGCTGCTTCTCGAATCTTTGCCTTGGCTGCCGCCAATATGTTGCCCACAGCTCCCACCTAGCCTTTCTCTCACACTCCCGCCGGGCTCCAGTGAGGATGAGGCAACGCCACCTCCCCCGCGTGATGCAAATATATTGAGCCTGCAAACACACGTGGAGATTATCTTGAGAAAAATATCTCGGCAAAAAAAGCAATAGTTTTACATACGGGGAAATTAGTACAAACTGAGTAACGTATGTTTGTTGAACTTCGCACCATAATTAGCCCACTGTGCTAATCGGAAGTGCGGAAGAAGGACAACAAAATAACAATTTTGTCAAGATCCATTATGTCAACATTTGTTTACTGACAGTAATACAATGCAATCGGGACAGTACTATAAACACAAACAGGCGCGTGGCATGCAAAATGAAAAATTTTGGTAGTACAAAAACTGTCGATGTATATGTTGATAACGTACAACTGATGTTAAGTGCCCAGGAGATGGCCGTACTGAGTGACTATTCTGTGTATATGGGTTTCCTCTGGCTACCAGCACCCCCCCCCCCCCCATCACACAATGCTCAACACTCATCAATGCACCTGGATAAACATTCCAATGCATGAGGACCCTCATGATAAACGTCTCGACTTAAGTTTGTTTACCTGTGTAACAATACCTCTTGTCCAGTGAACAACAAAGCCGTGTGAAGACTTTGCGAGCCGGATCAACGTATCTCTGGAGACGCGACATTGTGTTACCCCCTTGAAAAGCAGAGCCGTGCCACTCACGTCAACTGCAATTAATGTATGTTTAGTCCCACCCCTGGCCTGCTCTACCCCCAAATAATATATGAATGTCTTGGGGCCAGTCTAGCGTGGGTTTGTTTCTGGCTCCACCCTGCAAATCGCAAGCGGACAACCAGCTGTACTGTGAGGGCCCTGTACTGGCTCCTAGGACTTCAGATATGCCAGTGGAACAGCGGTATAATCGACGTTGTCAAAGAGTAACAGGAAGTGCAATCACCTAGCTTCCTCTCCCTCCAGAAGCTTGCGGTAGGTCAAGATCTCCGTGTCCAGGGCCAGTTTGATGTTCATTAAATCCGTGAAGTCGCGCACGTGCTTGACCATGTCATGCTTGGCTTTTGCCAGGGCCTCCTCCAGCTGTGCTACGGCTGCCTTTGCCTCGCCGATGTTCTTCGCACCGCCTTCCTCTCGCTCAGAAATGGCCGCCTCCAGTTTCTCTCGCTGAAACAAAAACAAGAAACATCGTTCGCGCGTCCATTGATTTATTCTTTTTATTACAAGGAGCGACGAGATAGCAGAACGACAATGGATTTTTCATTCTCAAACGTGTCCATACGGGGCTCCGAGTGCTACGGTGGTTTTCTCCAGAGCCTTGTTTGTACTTTTATGGGAGATTTGAGAGTCTAGAAATATCAGCTTTCGTCGGTTTGCGCTGTGCAATAAGCAGGAGTTGGCAGCAGCACACCCAAGGTGTGTGGGTTTTCTCTGGGAACTGCATTTTCCTCCTCACAAGTCCAACACAAAAACACACAAATGGGTAGGACTTTCCTGAGTCTCGAGACTCACTGCGACTTTCTTGGGTAAAATAAAGGATATTATTATTCTTAATAGATGCAAGTTGTTGTAACGTGTAATTCAACACAATAGAAGCACTATTCGTGTGTTTCAAGATCTGTGCTGGTTGTACCACTTACAGTATGTTTTTTTTATTGGGTGTAATTGTGAACAAGAGCTTTATCGGACATTATCTACTCGGCATAATAATTGGTTCACTGCAGCTCAAAGACGTTTCAACCGCGTGAACTCCAAACCCATTTGAAGACGATAATGCTTACCTGCTTGCTCAAGATGTCGAGTTCCGAATTGATCTGGTGGATCTGACGTTTGATGTCGTTGATTTCGGCCTTGGCTTTGCGTAGCTCTTCGTCACTTCGATCGCTCTCTGAGCGGAGTTTGTCAAACTGGAGTAAAACACGTACAACAACCAAACATTTAAACGTTTCAAATGTCAATTTGACAATTACAAACCACCATTTGTTTTAAAGTGGTTGTATTCTCCCAGGCAATGCTTTCAATTTTCCTGTTGACCTCGTGGATTTTATCCGGGTCCTCCGGTTTTTCCCACCATGTTTAGAATCATGCGTTGAGAGTATTTGACTACTGTACATTTCCACATAATAAGCCACTTTGTTGAGCTATTATTAATGGCCAGGTCGCTTCTGAAAAAGAGCTATGTAGCAACGTGGGCTCACCAGGTAAAATTAAAATTAGGTTGTATGTTAAAAATAGGCTATAGGTTACTTCACTCCTAAGGTGAGGCAAATTATCTAGTCATTCTAAAAACCTCCTATGGCGAGTTAGCGCAGTTCGGCAGGTACCGGGTTGTTTTTCCACTGCCGAACCCGAGAGGTGAGGGTGATGTTAAAATGTATCATTGATCGATTCCTACTCGGCAAGGAATGTAGCCGGTGGAAAACCATATGTACTGTGAGGGCCCTGCACTGGTTTTGCTCGGATGTGCCAGTGGATATAAGGGGATGTGGTGCATCAGAATCAGAATCTCTATTTATTCTGGAGAAATCCGATGATCTACGAAGCTCTTTATCACAGATGTCCAGTAAGTCGCGCAAACGCTTTGTTGTAGTCTACTGAAGGATGCTCCCAAAAGTCAAGCCTCCTATTTGTTTCTCAATAACTTTTTTTTATTGAGCGGAGCTTCTTATATTTATTCCTGGATTAACATTTGGAGGCTTAAAAAGAGCCATCCTTTCTTGCACTCCTGCCAATGTGGAGTACAGGGTCAGCACTCCATATTGGCAAAGTCATTCCTCTATCCAATAACCGTTTACAAACAGCACCGTGGACAGTGCCATTATTTTCTGAACAATTTTTCGTGTAGGCCGTGCATTGAGGAGCTAAACAGACTAAACACTTCGGGGGGCCAGATCTGGGGCCTATGGTTTGGGTGGCACAGTCTACCTGATCTGCAATGGCCTTAATGTTCTCAGTCTCATGTGTGGACCGGCATTTTGCGTTAAATTACTCCCAACATGACAATCTGGATTTGTAATGTACAGACGTTCAACAAGCGATAACGTAACCCTATGTATGGCTGGCATCATCCATTTTGGCAGCGCGCAAAATTAATTAATGAAATCACCTTCTGCTTGTATATTGCTTCCGCTTCAGCTTGGCTTTGAGACATGATGAACTCGTACTGTTTTCGTACTTCAGAAATAATCCCATCCATGTCCAGGCTCCGCCTGTTGTCTATCTCTACGAGAACATTGGTGTTCTTGATCTGCGCCTCCAACTCGCGTAGCTCCTGTTAATGGGCAACATGGATCAGTTTCCTGTATGAATGGGAAGGGTGAGCATATCTCCTCCGAGAACAAGAAGCCTTGAGTATTTTTTTTACATTACGAGGCATCCTTTGCCAGTAGCAAGATATAACAATAATAGGTTTTACCCTTTTATCTGGCAACAAAACTGATACCTTTTTTTACAAGGGATCATGCTTGCACTAACCACAACACTTGCAGTCAAAATGCAAACAAAAAGACAACACTGATAATTTATGCAAAAGCTTACTCCGGTCTCTCAATACTCTGATGGTGCGTTGTCTTTGAGTTGTGCACGTTTTGGCGTGATCTGGTCCAACACCAACGTGAGACTGGGCTCTAAGAAAAGCTGTCTCGGGTGTGGACCAATCAATTTCAAGGACAGTGCCAATACATTATCAGTGTTGTCTTTTTGTTTGCAATTTGACCGCAAGTGTTGTGGTTAATGCAAACATGATCCCTTGTAAAAAGGTATCAGTTTTGTTGCCAGATAAAAGGGTCACACCCTATTATTATAGCCTTGAGTAATGTTTTTATTTTATTTTATGCGCTTCATATTTAAACGTAGTTTAACGATTTTGCCATTACGAGACATATGCAAATTGCAGGGGTGCATCCCGTTCGCCGCCGAATCTCGACATGCGCAAGCAGCTCAGCGTTATTTGTTATTGAGAGAGACATAACGCTGTTGTTTTTAAAGATGTTGTACTCACCGTAGGGCACCGTAGTGAAGGAGGCTGGTGTGCATCTGGAACTCAACCCTAAATCCATAACCCTCTGCCCAAATTCCCAATATCCTTTAACAAAAGTTAAGATACTAAAGCCGACGACCCTTAATGTCTCTACTTAAATCCAAGGTCTGTGATTGGATGAAAATATGCTGTATAACTGAATAAAACAATATAATTAAAATTTATGTATGTACGTATGTATTGTGTTGAACTTCTTTCGCACCGTACATAGCCAACCATGGTAATAGGAAGTGCAGGAAATTATGCTGTTGCTGCTTTTGATTGTAATGATGATGGTGGTGCTTCTGTTGATACTGTTGCTAATTGTGTAAAAGGTGCCGCTTGTGATGCAATTACTGATCATACTGATGCTGCTGCTGATGTTGCTGATATTGCTGCTTCTGGCGATCATGATGCTGCTGCTGCTGATGATGATGCGGAGAGATAGGAAACAGAGGCAGAACTTTCTGCTGAACTAAAAATGAAAGAATGAAAATGGTGACGGAGACTATTACATCACCGCATCTGCAGGGGACATTGGTAACTTTCTACACATAAACAAACGGAACTCACCTGTGCGAATGCTTCCCTCAGAAAATGTATGTCCTCAATAAGACCCTGAAATTTGGCTTCAAGCTCAATTTTGACAAAGCTAGCTTCAACAGCTTCCTACCGAAAGAAAAACAAAGTACAGTCATTACATGATAAACATTAGATTTTGCACATACAATGGTATGCACGTTATGTTTTTTTATGCACAATGATCCGTTTATAATTGGGAAATGGAATGGTGACGGTTTTGGGGGGAGGAGGAGGAGGCCTTCATCCAGCAGAAGTTTGATCATGGCTGAGGGTGAATAGCTAAGTGAAAAACTTTACCTTCTTCACCAGTTCATGCTCTTCGACCTTTTTCTTATGAGCAGCAACTTCCACTTCATATCTTTGAGAGAGAGAACAATGGAATAACAAGGCCATGGTTTATTCATGTTCAATATTTGGCTGCCATATAGACATTCCCACACGATAAGCTGCCACATTGAGCTTTCGTGACCAGGTCGTTTCTGAATAACAGCCATATAGCTCAGTAGGCCTTACCGAGTAAAAATTAAGTTTGGTTTCGTTTAGTATCCCAGTTCCCATAATTGTTGGTTCATTCAATTAAAAGTGAATCTCACTTGCTGCTGAAGTCCTTGCCAGCGTGCTTTATCATTTGCAGGTCACTGTTCATTCTGGCTCCATTATGACCCAGATTCTGCAGCTGTCTCCTCAGTTCCTCGATGTAGACTTCGAACAACTCGTCCAGGTTGCAGTCAACCTTTCCCTTATCCTGCAGCACATACCACTGCGCCTCCAACACCTTGTTCTGCTGTTCAAGGATGCGCACCTACGCAACGAGAACACGCACGTGCACACATTGAGGCCCTCTTCATTTGAAGTACAGGTCTGTACAGGCACGAGAACATTGTTTTAACGTTCTATATTATCTGGCCCATTGGTTTCCAAGTATTTATTTTTTGAAAGGCGCTTAATATATATAAACAAAAATGCTGTGAAATTGTAGTTATCGTGTTTAATTTATTTGCATTTATGCAGACGATAAAATGTTTTTGTTTGCTGTGCATAGTGATAAAATGCAACTACTGCATCTCAAGGGGTTTTTTTTGCAAAAAGTTAGGAAATATAGTACATCATTGGGTAATGGGGAAGGTTGTTAAGGTTAAGAAGCAGCTATTGAGCCTGGGCTTGCACAGGTAGTAGTAGTAGTTGGCAGCACAGAAGCTCGGGAAGGAATTCCAGTCCAGAGGGGGCAGGTGTGAGTGAGGGCTTCTGTGGCTTCTCAAACGTCTTGGGAGAGCAGATGGTGTTTTTTTTTTGTCAGGGATGAAGACTTCAGATTTGGAACTGCTTTAGGATGGTATATGACAGTCGACAATAATGTTTTGTGTGCAGAGTTTACATATATGCGACTGTATATGTATCCGTAATAGAGTTTTTTTGGGTAAGATGGGGTAAACATAAATGTGCCGTTAAACCCGCCACCACCCGACACAGCCAATTAGTACTGTATATGTAGTTTGGAATTGTGGCGATTGTTGAAGCTGGAGATGTATGTTGAACATCGTCCGTTCCGTACGTACGCCGCTCACCGCACTAATTAGAGGTGCGGAGATGATGTTGTCAAGTGGAGGAACCTATTGAAGCTAGCTTTACCCCATTTCCCATCACGAACTCCAACCCTCTTCCCAAACTTCCCAACCCACCCATCGCACTCGCTCATCATCAACCGCTCAAATGTCACTCTCATCATCGTTGACTTCACGCATCATCATCTTCCTAAGGCACCACCATAATTCGCACCGACGCATCTCGTCACGCAAATCTGCCGTTGCACATAGCTAACTGTTTGTTCAGCGCCGTTAGTGAAGGCGCTGTATACATTGAAATCAGTCCCGCGGTATAACGTGGCACAGACGCTTCGAAGAGGAGGGGCAGCCCCTCGTTATGGACAGCACAGATGGGATTGTTGTTAAGAGAAGGGTGTGCTTGGAGATGCGTACTTGTGCATGGTTATTCGGGCGGTCACATCCGTTGGAGTAGGTCAATGGCGTTAAGAGTGAGAAGATCAAAGTTGAGAGGAACCACGGTGTAACTCGTCACATCTCTGGAATCGCCATGGGAGATTACCCTTGACAGGACGTTTTCAAGGAACGGGAAGGGCTGTATGTATGAACTTCTTTCGCACAGTACGTAGCCAACCGTGCTAATCGGAGGTACTGTACTGTCATGTTGTGCAATAATATGCATGCCATTTCCATGTTATTGGCAGAACAAAATATGAGATGTGGTTTCCGGCAATTGAAGAAAATACTTAGCAGGAAAAGAAGGCCAGCTGTCAAGTTCCTTTAAGCAGTAGTTTTACATTCAATATGCATCACTTTTGTGTTGTTTGTTTTTGTAACGTTCTGACCTGCCCCTACTGGACATCTGTGGAAAAATAGCTTGATAATTCGTCGGATTCTTCCAGTACAATTTTTTTTTTAAATCTGACAAATAAATAAAAATGCACCGTTCAGAAACGCTTGACTTTTATCACACGCACGCAACCACCCAGTACAATTTTTTTTAAATCTGAAGAATAAAAATTCACCGTTCAGAAACGCTTGACTTTTATCACACGCACGCAACCACCCAGTATAATTTTTTCTTAATCTGACAAATAAAAATTCACCGTTCAGAAACGCTTGACTTTTATCACACGCACGCAACCACCCAGTACAATTTTTTTTTAATCTGACAAATAAAAATTAACCGTTCAGAAACGCTTGACTTTTATCACACGCACGCAACCACCCAGTACATTTTTTTTTTAAATCTGACAAATAAAAATTCACCGTTCAGAAACGCTTGACTTTTATCACACGCACGCACCACCCAGTACAATTTTTTTAATCTGACAAATAAAAATTCACCGTTCAGAAACGCTTGACTTTTATCACACGCACGCAACCACCCAGTACAATTTTTTTTAAAATCTGACAAATAAAAATTCACCGTTCAGAAACGCTTGACTTTTATCACACGCACGCAACCACCCAGTACAATTTTTTTTAAAATCTGACAAATAAAAATTCACCGTTCAGAAACGCTTGACTTTTATCACACGCACGCAACCACCCAGTACAATTTTTTTTTAAATCTGACAAATAAAAATTCACCGTTCAGAAACGCTTGACTTTTATCACACGCACGCAACCACCCAGTACAATTTTTTTTTAAATCTGACAAATAAAAATTCACCGTTCAGAAACGCTTGACTTTTATCACACGCACGCAACCACCCAGTACAATTTTTTTTTAAATCTGACAAATAAAAATTCACCGTTCAGAAACGCTTGACTTTTATCACACGCACGCAACCACACACGCGCATGCTGCATCGGTTGGGACAATGCGTGCGTGGGTGGTGCTGTCGGTGTTGGTGGTGATACCTTATCAATGAAGTTTGCAAATCGATTGTTGAGCATCTTGATTTCCTCCTTCTCCTGGGCCCGAATTGGCAGGACGGAGCGGTCGATCTCGACGACGGGGACGGGAGGGCGCGCGCGCACGCTCGACGAGACCCTTCCATAGCCGCCCGTGTACGCGGAGCCGAAGCCACCGCCGCCGCCACTGCCACCCCGGTAGCCCAGGAGGAGGGCGCTTCGCCTGCCGACAACGCCGGGCACGCTCGACTTGCTCCACGTCCCTCGTTCACTTCGCGGCTGGCTGCTGTCGAGTCCGGCGAACGAGCGGCTCGTAAATTGCCCGCCGCTGACGCCGCCGCCGTCGACGCCGCCGCTGACGCCGCCGCCGCGACCACCCCGGTGGTGGGGTCCGACGCCGCGCACGAACCCAGCGGTCGTGGCGAAACTTGGAAGGTTGTTGTAGGACATCACCGGCGGTCGTCTTGGGGCGAAGAATAATAATAATTATGTCACGCGGAGCTGCACCCCCCCCCTCCTCTTTGTGTGTGTGTGTCTTCGTTTAAAGGGCTGTTTAAGGCGAGAGGAGGAGGATTGTGGGTGGTGGGTAACAATGAGAACTGGAATCCCTTTGCTGCGTGGTGTCAGTGGAGGAGGAACACGACCAAGTGGGTAATATCGGAAGGCGCGCAGGTTCAACGCCCATCGGTGAGGACCGGAGGCTATTTGGGTCATTGGTTGTTGACGGTGAATTATTATTGCTTATACACCGTCGAAGAAGGTTACAACACCCCCCGCCCCCGTACGAATAATGCAGGGTGCTTCCAAACAATAAAACAATGTTAACAATTACGTGGGACCATGGGTATTTGTTGCGAATTCTCAGAAGTGTTCAAATATTTTTGAAAGCACCGTGTAATAATAATTACACTCCGGCGACTGAAAGTAAATTTGTGTGTGTACTCTGTGTATGCATAGAGTACCGGATTAAGCTGGTGCGGGGCCTGCAGCCTATGTTGTTATAAATGGGCCCTAAATTAAAATGAAAATTAAAACACGTAACATTTTTACTTGCATTGTAAAGTAATTGTATTTTTGTCATTTGCTATACAGCCAGGTAATACGACAAATCGCTAACTTTAAACACCCAGTCGTTCATAAACGTTTAAGATGGTATAGTACTATAGTAACAGAGCAAGTGCAGAATCACTGAACCGAAATTGACAGCTTGAAAGCATGTAGTAGCTACTACACGTGCAGTAGCTATTACATATGCAGCTACTTTTGCTACTAGGATATAATCCGGCACTGTGTGCATACTACTTTTTACTCCATGTTCAAAAAGACTAATTTATACCGTACGTCGCAAGAAATTAAGATTCTTGGACAATTATTTCTTAGTGCTTCTTAACCTTTTCCGCAAACTTGCTTCCCGATCGCAAAAACAAAAATGTGTAATGGTAGTAATACATTCGGTTTTTATGAAACAACGTAGTTGTATTTTGATTTAAAGCTTTCGTGACTGCAGGGATTCATATTCCTGGTTCTTTCGGTAAAGTCACGTAGAAGGGAAAAAATAAAATAATAAAATATAAACAATTTTTTAATAATAAAAATATAAACCAATATATATTTTTTATTTTATTGTTTCCCCTTCTACGTGACTTTACGGAAAGAACCAAGAATACCTAGATGTACTTACGTGCCCCTTCTTAGTTGGTGTTTCGACCACTTACTTTTTAACAACAAAAATAATCTGGCCTGTCTCTCGTAGCACAACCACAGAGGGCATCTCGCACGCCCAGGGGTAAAGAAGAGGCTTTTAGACCACCATACTCGTACAGCGCGTGGCATGTTGTTTTAACTCGCAGCTCAATGCAAATACGCGTGCAGTTGATTCACCTTTGGTATTGGTACGCCTGGACGTCTGCGACAGAGAGCTTCATAGCTCATCGGATTTCTCAACTTTGATATAACGATTCTGATTTTTTTTTACTTCCACCACAGCGTTCAAAACGGATTATGTAAACACGGCAGAAAATTACTCCGCCACCTCGTAATAAATACATCCAGAACGAATCCTGCACTGATGTAATATTGTAATATTGTCGGAATGGAACTGAGTAAGAACTTTTTTTGAAATCACGCATTTTGAGCACTTTCATCCATCATGATAATGGACAGTCAATTTCGTTGCACAGCAGTACTTTAATATTAAAACTTACCATAGCTTTGAAGCATGCCTTAATACTGTACTGTACATTTGACTCTCAATATGGGAAGCCAGGTGGGTTTGCGTGGTGTGAAGTTTCCAAGTAAATTCACCAAAAAAAACCACATTGCACGACCTTAAACACCGCACCCAGGTACGGCTGGCTGCAACTGTCCTGCCACCGCCTATTTCATTTTCAAAAATCCAGTTTCTCCAGTCGAGAAGCTGCTTGCTCAATGCCCCAGGGCAACGCACCCTTTATTGAAACGAAGGAACGCAACGCATCTGTTAATACCACTGCCTTTAAAGGAAACATATAAAGGAGTGAAAAATAATAGTCGGAGACGACACTCATTTATACCGTGGTGTTTGATGATGATATTAAAACGTTTACTGATAACCCGCTTTTCGTGGGCATACGAATAGTTACATGTGAGTAGGTATTACGTAACAAACCCATATTCAAAAATGTGTTTCCAAATCAAATCTATTGTATTAAAAGTACTGTATTACGGTAACGTGTTATAAAATGTTGCTGGTTACTGTACATTGCATTTAGTGATGCATTCCTGGGCTCAAGTATCATTTCAACAGGGTTAAAGAATCATCAATTAGGTTTCGGATCAGAGGAAATTTCAAACGTTTTTAAAATTCCCTTACAATTTAAAGGACTAGTTTTATGTCTTTTTAATCCTTGCTGTCCAATTTTACTGAGAAATAAGCTGTGTGAACTGTGTTCCGATTGGAGGTACACCATGTGAACCCCAAAAGGCACGTTTATCTAGACTTCAATCATAAATCTATGTTATTAAGCGAAGGTGAGGCGTTCATTCAGTCGTGCTCGCTGGAACAGTACACAGTTGGAATGTGGCTTTTCCATCTTTTTTCTGGTCTCATCCCCACCAGCAATCAAGGGCCACGTACCGACAACCATAGCCCGAGTGACAATTAAAAAAAATAAGTCGTAAAAATGTCACGTTATTGTTTTCGCTCATTTATTGAACTACAACACGCATTTGTATAAATCAAGGGAAAATTAATTGTCGTAAATCTTTACACGACAACCTAAATGATCCCCAAAATGTTTCACTTATGCAAAATATATCAAATTATATTGTAGCTGGATCGCTTCCTAGACAGTGCAGTGAACTCTGAATTATAAGGCCATACGTTTAAATTCTCATTATGATAAACCCAGTCCGTAAACCCCGTGAGATCTGTAAAATTAAGCACTGCCTGTTGACCAATACTTGGTGTAACATCAACAGTTTCGTTGATTTTAAAGATTTTGAGCCAGCTGGCCGGGATTTGGGCAAAGCTTTAGCCCTCTTTTCACACAGGCATCTGGAATAGTTGTATTAAAGAGGCACCGGTCACCACCATAACAATGTGGAACTTGACCCACTTGCTCAAAACACCTAGCGAAGATGAGTACTGCACAATATTCACCAGCATGAACAGTGTAATCATATTTTTGTTAAAATGTTCACATCTTTGTTAAATCACGTGTACTATTTGCATAAATCCAACAAATATAGTACTGTATTTCGACTGTAAACATTACGGCATGTAAAAAGAATTTTTAAAAATGAAACACCATTTGTCAAGTAATTATTTTAAGATCCACAAGTAATTTTAAGTAGCATCTTTTTAAAAGTCGTGATCCTAATTGTCCCTGCAGTACTCTTTGTTTTTTTTCGGTAAAGTCACGTAGGTAAAATAGAATAAATGAAAACAACTAAATTAAATCACGACGTTTCGGAGGCAACACAAGCTTCCGTCTTCAGGTGGAAGAGCTCTTCACTTGATACAGCTAATTTTGCTGTGACTGTTCCACCTGAAGACGGAAAGCTTGTGTTGCCTCCGAAACGTCGTGATTTAATTTAGTTGTTTTCATTTATTTATTTTTACCTACGTGACTTTACCGAAAAAAAACAAAGAGTATAAATCCTTGTAGTCACGAAAGCTTCAAATCCAGAATTGGCCCTACAGTGTTAATGCGTCTCAAATCCTCTCTCAGTCTTGTTTTGTTTCTGTGGAGCTTTGTGACCTTGAATGGTTTCTAATCAGCCTTCTTTCTTTCTGAAACTTTCAACAAAAGTGTTTTTTCCGTTTGTAAAATGGAACCCTTGGCAAGCTTTGGCGGAATCTGAAAGAAACAAATGCAAGGAGATAGTTTTTAAACATTGCCATATAATAGTTGTCTCCTGGAGCAATACCAGAATCAATATTAACACCACAAAAGTTCATTTCTACGTGAACAGTAAAGAGCGGAGGAGGGGGGTGGGTGGGTGGGGTGGGGGGGGTGTGATCGTGCACCGTGGTCTCGCTGCACATCTGGAAAGAGTAGCGCTGCAGGATGCGACAGACAGCGATCTTCACGGACATCAGGGCAAAGCGCATGCCGATGCAGTTCCTGGGGCCTTGACCGAAGGGCAGGTAGCAGTAGGGGTCACGCGCCTCCTTGGCCTCCTTGGTGAATCTGCACAATTCGCAGTCGTGCGCACACGCGCGGAATCCATGAACAGCGGGGTTCAGACAAACCAACACTTAATAACCACGGTGACTGCATTTTTAACCGTAGTCAAGCGGTCGAAGAGAATGAATGAAATCCACAGCCTAAGACTTGACTAAAATTCCACAGGCTGTTGTCAACTTTACTAAGACTGACTTAAAATAAAATCTAATTAAAATTAATACTGCAGGTTCGGTTGAGATCCGTTGCAGAGATGAAGCGATGGAATCGGGCTCATGTGAAGGTGCGTGGTGCATTGTTACATTGTGTGTGCGAGCTGGCGGCAACTTGGGGCCTTCATCCAGCAGTGGATTGCTCATGGCTGATGTTAGCATTTGAGCTGATTAATGAGATGGCATCGCGCTACACATGACGTCAGAAAATTACACCGTATCATGCCATGCCAATGTGATGGCATATAATGTCTGCACATTCAGAAAGAAGTGATTGCATCATACGCTTTGCTATTATATGCTGGATTTTATTGGCGAGTTTTGGCCATTTTTTTCCCAGTTTTATCTACGTTAAGTCCCAAATTGAAACACAGCTTAGCACTATTACATTTTTATTGGATGATCTTTAAAGTTATTATTATTATTATTGTGACCCTATCCAATGGACAGGCAGATCATCTGGACGACTCTCATTCATTCACGCGTTCAGCCTGAGTTGGAAGGTCTATTAAGCGCAAGATTGGGAAAATTACAAGGCAAGCATGATGTCATCCTGTATGGAGTCCATGAAACAATTACAACATACAATTATCTTTATATAACTTGAATAAGCAACTCGTTTTGATTCGAGTGCCCATGCCATGGCCCAATATAATTGATTCCTTGTATTGTCAAGCTCCATTATGGATCTGTGTTTTTGAAATATGATACGCGCGAGTTTCCAAACGCACCCAATTTTGGGAACGTGATTCACTCACCGTTCTGGCCTGAACTCGTTGGGCTCCTCCCAGTGCTGTGGGTCATAGTGAAGCACCCACGTCGAGACAGTGATCACCACGTCCTTGGGGATGACCAGGTTGTCCACCGTCGTTGTCCTTTTACACACGCGGTCTAAACGCGCGGCCGGTGGGTACATCCGCA